ATGATGGTCGTGCAATCCGCGTAGTACTATGACTCCAGACGTTTGTTCGTCTGTACTCGTGTGTTCTTGTATTCAGGATATCGCCTTGGACTCCAAACGCAGCGATATCGAAAGTGAGGCGAATCAAGATTAATAGTCGAATACTGCCACTTTGTATTTCGACGATGCTGTTTACAGTTCTGTCACGCGATCGGAATATCCGTCTTTGGTCGATCTCTCTTTTGGAAGTCGTTGCGACGTTACGGTCGTGTCCGATGTTCTGTACAGATATTGGGAAGAATATACGTAATGTCTTCCATACGCCTTCCATTTTATACGCGGAGTAACGCGTTTAGAGAGCGGTAATTGACTTTTCCATGTTACTAGGATTTATTTCTGCATTATGTATTATTGTGATAAATAAAAGTGTTACTGCGACGGAACTTGCGTGATCACCTAAAGTTTTGTTATGTGTATGCCATTTTCACATTGGCGTTTCAAATGAGCGTTCTCTACGCTCAAGTATATGTACGTAGAGTACATGTTTTTCAAGTATACGATCTTCTTACGGAGTATACGGAAAAGCAATGACAATACTTTGATTATATCCACTAAAAACTTGGTCAAAGGCTTCACTTACAGGAATAGAATAATGTGCTAGACCACGAGAGCAGACGATGAAAGAAAGATCTTCGCGATGAAACGAGGATACTCGGTACTAATGTCCCTCTGAATTTTTCTATTTCAGGTACAACCAGCTACAGTTTTCCGACGAATATTACCCGATGACGATGTTCGCCAAGCTCGATCTGGTGAAGAAGGACATCGAGCCGGACAAATTCTCGTCGTCAAAGTGCCCGAAAGCGACGGGCGCGAGCGTGTCGACAACTTCAGCTTCGACGACGACGACGACGATGACGACGACAATGACGGCGACGGCGACGACAACGACGAAAACTGAGCAAGGCGTCATAAAGCAGGAGATGAACCTTGAGGACGACAATGACGATCTTCCGTTGGCGTATCACTGTAAGAACTGCGGCGTCTTCTTCGCTTCGCAGTCCTTACTGGACAATCACGAGATCGAGCACAAGGGTAAGCGAAAGAACACGTGCGCACAGTGCGGTCGGGTCTTCAGGACAGGTGTCAGCTTGCGTCAGCACATGAAGAAGCACTCGGTGCGCAAGGGCGGCCGCAAGAGCAGCAAAGGCCCGGGCGGCCGGACCGCGTCTCTAAAGAAGGTGAAGAACGAGAAGCCCGAGCTGGAATTCCTGTGCAAGACTTGTAACAAAGTGTTCCGTCACAAGAGCAATTATCAGAAGCACTTACTGCGCCACACGGTGGGCGATCTCACCTGCAAACACTGCCCGAAGAAGTTCCGTCTGTTTCGCGATCTAACCAGACACGAGAAGACACATTTCTACCCGAGCTACATGTGCAAAGAGTGCGACTACGAAACCACCGTACTAGCGGCCTTGACCATTCACATGCTGCGACACACGGATAAGGCGGACCTGCCGTTCAAGTGCAATGAGTGCGACAAGCGTTTCCGCAAGAAGCTCGACCTTCAGGAGCACTACAACATACACTCGGGCGAGAAACCGTTCGTTTGTCAGCTCTGCAACAACGCCTTCTACCTACGGCGACAGCTTTCAGCGCACTGCAGACGCATGCACCCGGAGCTAAAAGCGAACAAAGTGACTAGCACCGCGTGCGACATTTGCGGCCGCGTACTCGCCACGAAGAGGTCGCTCTTTCGGCACAAGGAGAGCCACAATCCCACGAAGCTCTATCTGTGCGATTATTGCGGCAAGAGCCTCAGCAGCGCTGAGCACCTGAAGAAGCACAGGCGGATTCACACCGGCGAAAAGCCCTACGTCTGTGACATATGCGGCAAGGGCTTCACCGACTCGGAGAATCTGCGAATGCACAGGCGAGTGCATACAGGGGAGAAGCCGTACAAGTGCGACCAGTGTCCGAAGGCTTTCTCACAGAGGTCGACCTTGACCATCCACAGACGCGGTCACACCGGCGAACGGCCCTACGTCTGCCAGATCTGCCATCGCGGATTCTCTTGTCAGGGTAATCTGACGGCCCATCAAAAAACTACGTGCTTGTAAAGACTCTCTACGGTGGGCATCTGTTAGTGAAGCGCATGAATTTTGAATCTTGCTGACTGACAAGAGTGTTTCGAAGAGAGAAAAAGAGACCAAGTGTATGCCGCATAGATGTACTCTATGTTGATGTTCACGCAGCGATTAAGTTATGATGACCAAGTTTTTAGTGCGACAGCTCATATTTTCTGCTCGTTGTTAACCAGAGACGCAACAGCAATCTTCGTGAAACAGCGAAAAACTCGAAGAACTTGAATTATTATAGATTATGAGTATATAATCTATATGAATATATATATATATATATATACATATATATATATATACATACACAAGAGCGACATCAACGAGGTGTTGTATTTCGCGATATTTGTTGGTTTTAGCGGTAACATTCATCAGTCACGTCGATGTCCGATACTTCTCTACGAATATCTTTTGTACTGATTGTAATGCTCGCGTGATAAAAAAAGAGCGGTACAACATACGCGTAAAACGGGAAGATGAAGGGACCGCGCGCATAATTTGCCTTTTCGTTTTATCTTGTGAATTATAAATTTGTACTATTATCGTGCTCAAGGTGTTCCATTAAAAATATTGTTGTTCTATTTTTCCAGTATGTAAGGATAATTTTGTAAGCCGAACGATGCCAATTGTTGAACAATTCTGTTCTTTTTCCTCTTGTTTCTCTTCTCATGTCTTTTACTTTTTTTTAATTTTCTACGGACGGAGGATCACGCAACTCCAGATTAGCTCGTTCGAATGATGAACAAACGCATCGACAAGCTTATGTTAATGATCATTGACGATATTCGTTATTATACGTTTAATAAAACCATTCGTACATCAAAAGAGTGTATGACTGCGGAGCTGTTTTCTCATCATGTTGTCGATTAAACTGATTCCTCAGTATCGAAACGAACGAGCCTCACTTTTTCCCTTAATTATCCGCTGCATTCACGAATCGTACTAATCGTTGAGTCGTTTGTATTCTCGTAACGTCATCAAAGTCGGTCAGAAGAGGTATCGACGAACGATTTGACGATGTGATTTAGTGTATAGCATGTTGAAAGCTCATATATATCTATTGTTGCTTACAGAGCCATCCAGTTCCGAGTGCTCACAGTGCGAGCAAATACTGACATTGGAGACGATGAAGAGAAATATACGATACAAGATAGTGCGCAGTCAGCAATAGATTCTAATGCAGTGGATCCACTGGCAGTGGAGGATCCACTGAGTGAGAAAAAGGAGCGAGGAATAACATCGAAAAAGTCTTCTAACGCGTTGCGTCGGACGACGCGAAGTTGTAAAAGAACCTACAGTACGTCAGCCAACGCATGGATACAAGATAGTGCGCAATTAGCAGTAGATTTTAACGCAGTGGATCCACTGGCGGTGAAGGATCCACTGAGTGAGGGAAGCGAGCAAGAAACATCGGAAAAGTCTTCTAACGCGTCGCATCGGACGACGCGAAGCTGTAAAAGAACCGACAGTACGTCAGCCAACGGGGAGAAGAGACTATACAAGAGTCAGCAGCAAGAACGGAAGAAGTATATTAAGTACGAATGTCCCACCTGCCAGATGTTTTTCGTGCAACCAGACGCATTCGAGCAACACATGAAAAAGCACCGCAAGAGGCGTCCGTACAAGTGTACGGTCTGCGAGAAGACGTTGAGATGCGCGTCGAAGATGATCATGCACATGCAGAGTCACAGCGGCATCGAGTATATGTGCAAGACGTGCGGCTACACCACGACGAGTAAAGACTGCATGAGGTCACACAATCAACGGCACCAGCGGAAGTTCCGTTTTCGTTGCGAGCAGTGCGACAAGCGCTTTATGTCGAATTACTCACTGGAGGATCACCGGACGTGCCACCTGGACGCCAAGACCTTCGTTTGCGAGTACTGCAACAAGGCTTACTCGCAGAATTCGCACTTGATAACGCACAAGCGCACGATTCACGGCATCAGAAGGAGCGCGAGGCAGCACCAATGCCACCTCTGCAGCAGGAGCTTTACTTCGGAGCGTGGTCTGCGAAATCATGTGAGCCTACACACGCGGAGCTTCCAGTGCGCCCATTGCGGCATAAAGTTCGCGAAGAAGCGTTCACTGGCGGTGCACGTTCACAAACACATTGGCGAACAGTCCTACCAGTGCAAGTTGTGCACAAAAACCTTCGCGAGCTGGACGGTTCTCACGGAGCATCTCCTTATCCATACCGGCGAGAAACCTTACACTTGTGATCTCTGCGACGATAGCTTCGCGAAACGCAAAAGTTTGATGGCGCATCGTCGCAAGCACCCTGGTGATCACCCACCGCCACCGCGATTTATACTCAGACAATTGAAGAAATTTTCTGACAATTCCGTACATGATGGGAGAACATAACAGAGACTACGATAGAGTCGTTCTATTTTGAACGTTTCTTGATATGACAATCAGTATTGAAAATATATTAGTATTTATAACGTATGAATAATTAAGAGCCATTTCACTTTTTAATTTTGTGGAAAACTGCCTGTAAAATTTTAATAATATAATTATGTAATTATTTGTAAGTGATTTCTCTCTTATTGGTGTTCTTCATAAATACCTAGAATCCTAAATTCTGAAAGACTACCTAAACTCTAAAATACTGTGACCATCATTTTGTGTTTGTATTGATCTCAATTAATAGATGTTTTAGGATACGACAGTGATATATTACAGAATGGAATGGTGATAAGAGCTGAAAAGTGATTGTAACTTACTATGCCATTGTTGAAAAACTGCCTAAGAAAGTGTCAAAAAGAGAAAGATCATGATATAGTACGGAGGACTGAAGGAAAGAAAGAGAAAAAAAGACAGAAGCAAAACTTTGTACAAGAAAGGAAGAAGCAAAGAAAGATTCGTTGAATGAAAAAGAGAAAACTACGCAGTGAAACTACTGTAGTGAAAGTGTCGTCATCTGACGACTTATGGGACGATGAGAAAAACGAATATATAGATCGAGTATTGAACGAGGGACAGACCTCGTGTCCATTCTATTTGAAGCGCTTCGATCACGTGTAGCTTCTGAATAGACACGTCGTAGCAATTCACCAGCGAAAAACGTACAAGTGCAACAAGTACCGTGCATTTTACTACAGCGAGCAGAATTTGAAAAAGTATCTTAAGAGCCACAGCGACGATTACTTTTTCGAGTGCGACATGCGTCACGTTGAATACAAGGGGAAGGCCACGCTGCATACACGTTCGATACACGTCAGCAGGAAGCATATAACAGCGAAGTTTACATACGCCGCTACTGCGTGACGAATCTGTATAGAGCCATGAATGGAAACACAGGAAACGAGCCGAGAAAAACAACCAATTGTCGTGCCCTTTATGTGTGAAAAAGTTCCAGAATCAAACTCGTCTCGACGATCATCTATTGCTACACAAGAAGGACTATAGGAGCAGCGAGTGCGACGTGATCGTGAATTCGTCCAAGCAGCGGAATATCATAAAAGTAAGAAACACAAGTCGGGTATGACTTGTTCGATTTGCAAGAATATATTTATGTCGAATTTCTACCAACACGTGTTTACACATGCCAGGCTGTACACCTGCAATATCTGTGACGAAAATTGCATTCGATCGAGTCTCTTTCGTCACCAAAAAAATCATTTTGACCCAATCCCTACCTATATTGCTGCTTTAGTTAAGAACATCTTGCAGTAACTGTAAAGCCAGGAAATTCACTACAATATACCTGCAATTAGAGATTGAAGGAGTAAAGTATGAAATATTATTATTTATTTTCAAGGTCTTATGATATAAATTTTTGCTTGTCATTAATTTATGTGAATTTTAATCTAGAGACTATAAAAACATCAATTTATTTTTATGTTAATGAGTACACGTTTGCGACTGTATGTCACCTGTCTTTTTCTTTTCTATACATTTCAAAGTTATATACATTTCTATACATTTCAAATTATATTTCTAACGTTTATTTTCAATATTATTAAAGATATATGTGAGTCTGTATATGCTGCTGTATATATTTGCAAAATACTAATTTGTTTTGTAATGGATAACGATAATGATTATTTTTACTTGTGGTTGTCTAATTCCGTGATAATCTGATAATATCAAATCGAATTGTGTGCACGTGTGTGATTAGATTTCCGGATAAAGGGATTAAAACTGTAGTATTAATTAACATTAATATACATCTCTCCGAATATGTAAAAGTTTTCCGGCGATAATTTCAATAAAAACGATTGTAACGTCGCGATTTATGATAACGCAGTACGATAACAGTAATATCGATATTTTTAATATTTGTGTGATTAATTTATATGTTTATGTATAGGATTAGGAAGCAATTTGCCCATGTAATAATTACCTGTAGGTCATTAAACTTATATTTAAAAATTCATTTGAATTTATATTTAAATTATTTTGTATACTTTCAAATTTTATATTAGGCTTTTACAGGCCTTCTATTTTTGTAATTTGATTAAAAAGTAGTATTAATATTTTATGCTGACACAGTCTATCCCTGTTGCAGAGGAAAGCCTATCATCAGGCAGAAAGGAAGGCGTGAGGGAGGTCTTCGTTTAGTAATATTGGGCTCGTGGAAATCTGTTCTTGGAAATAGCTCCACAAATAGAAGAATCACAAGAGTTAATTCCGCTCGAATTCAGTGTCAAGATATGATTAAAACGGTTACTATAAATTCGCCGTTAAAATCGCAAAATTCGTTGGAAAAGTTGGCAGAATACAAACAGTTTGATTCACCGGTTATTGTAGAAGCGAGTGCGACGTCGCAGCAACAGTCGGATTCGCCGAGTCCTCAGAAAGAGCATACCGAAGTGGATGAAGTCTTGGATAAGATACGAAATACGTGTCCATTTTGCGACAAACATTTCAACACTGCAAAGAAGGTCGAGAATCATGTGAAATATGTGCATCGTAAGCCTTATAAGTGCGACAAGTGCAAAAAGTCGTGTTACACACAGAGAGCACTGAATGAACACAAGAGAATACACCGGCCGGATTATTTTTTTGAATGCGACATCTGCCATATGAGATATAAGAGCGTGTACGGCTTGCAGAGACACAACATTCGCACTCACAGCGACCACGATTCGCGATACATCTGCGAGCACTGCGGCCGCAGTTACAAGCTGCAGATCGACCTGACGCACCATGTGAAAAGAACGCATCCGTCGCAGTTGCAAATCTGCCGCTTCTGCGGCAAGGCGGTCAAGGACGTGAGGAGCCACGAGTGGCAGCATCAGAGGCGCAATCACGAGTTCAATTACAAGTACCCGTGCCATTTATGCCGCAAGAAGTTCCTCCACAGGAGCAGGCTGGACAGCCATCTCAAGTTACATGAGAAGGGTTTCAAGTGCGACGAATGCGGCAAGGAGTGTGTTGGCACGCGTGAGCTCCTCAGTCACAAGCGCTTCAAGCACCGGCACGGGAACATTTCCACCTGCATCCTTTGCCAAAAAACGTTCACGTCCGTCAGCAATTTCTATCAACACGTGCTCACGCACGCCGGCATACGGCCGTACAAGTGTGACATCTGCGAGGAGGACTTCACGCAACGTTCCAGCCTGCTACGACACAGGAGGCATCATCCGGGACCGCTACCGCCGATGCAGTCGACGCATCCGCAGATAGCCGGCCTAGCTAAGAGTTACCTGCAGAAGGTGCAAAGTGAAAACATCGACAAGAGTTTAGTGGTAGACGCGCGATCGTCAGCGTAAATCTGTGAAATTCATTGTATACATACGTAGGCTCATGTTGGATAATGTCTTGTCGAAGTGGTGTCTTGTACAAGTGATACATTGTTTGTTGTTGTGAAACAGTGTTTTCCGGTGGAACTATTACTGACTTTCCTTTCAAGTGCAAAGTACTTGGTATACAGTATGCTAATAGCAAGTATGGAACATATTCCTAAACATTTTTTATATAGAAAATTTATACTACTCTATGTTAATTGTTCCTTTTTCAGACGACGGATTCATATTCTTCGTGATCTCGAGAGTCCTAATTAAATCATCTTGTAGATAAACTTGTAATAACTTCATTAAGACTGTAGATCAGCATTCGAAATTATTCGAGGTGATTTTCCCACCTATCCGTTGTGTGTGCAATTGGCGGTCAGTCTCAGAATCGTCAATTTAACAAGACTTGCGGGATTCACCTTAATTTGTGAAACTAGTCCTCTATACGTATTATTTCTATATAATTTATGTATCTCTATTCGCACCATCAACATATTATATTACATTTACAACAAGAATATTAGTTTCAACAAGAACTTTTCAGAGATTAGGTAGAGTCCTACAGTTCTTATAAAGTTGACGTTCCTGAGGCTGTTCGCAAGTCGCAGCTCAACAAAAAAGCAGGAGAGACAAGGGAAAGAAAATAAGCGTAGACTTCGGAAATTGCTTCCTCAATGAAAGTAACTTTGAGCATTGTTGTAGAGGAAGAAATTATTGTCATGTATTTGATTAATACAAATCTCTTTATTAGTGAAGAATTATTAACTTCCTTTGTTTTTTTATTTATTTCAATAAGCTCAATTTGTTCTCGATATTTTCTGTATCAATTTTCATCAATATATACGTATATATATACGTGTATGTGATTTGTGCAAAAAATAATGAAATCTCCAAATGTTCAATGAGAATTTGTGTTTTGTATCAATTTTATTAGTAAGTGATAAGACCTTATCAGAAATGTGAAAATAGAACACAACGCGATCCAATAAATATAAAGATATTTAAATAAAATTGCACATATTAATAAAATTACATAATAATATAAATCATTATATGATAAACACTTTTGCCAACTCATTGAAAAATATTTGCTCCATATTAAGAATAAATAAATATTTTGTATGTATGTAGTTGAACAATTTTTACTGTGGAAACATTGGATTAAAGTATCGTTTTGTGCGAAGGAGAATAGTTTTATAATTGGATCTCTTTCATGGACAGCAATAATTAATAACGAGTTGGACACATAATCCCAAGAATAATTTTGATCTTTAATTGTTTTATAATATTTATAAAAAAAAACAGGTACCGTATATATATATAGATAAAATTTTATTCATAAATGTTCTTCTAAGCTACTAAACAATATCTTTATGACATCTTTTTCGATTTGGTTTTTTATTTCTCTTGTTCTCTTCTTATTCTCTTCTTCTTTTAAGGAAACTCTGAGATAATTATAAAAATATATTTTATATCGGCGATACAGAAGGAGGTTTTATATGTTGTCAAATAATTGTCATGATATCAGTGTTATTTTTTCTATCACTTACTAAATTCATCGATGTTTCAGGAATCAATGGATTACTGCGTGGGATGATTATCAATGTCGAAAAGTGGATGTACAAATATATTCTATACGAAAAGGTTCGAAAGTAGCGGAAAGGACCAAGCCGGTCTTGCTTTTAGGTAATTAACCAAAGAAATGGTACAATAATAATCTCCGACAACCACGAATGCTGCATTGTTTATGCACGTGAAGAGTCCGATCGGATTTGTTAAGTGGTGGATTTTCTTACAGAACACAGTGTCCAAGAGCAAGAAACGAACGAAGAGGAGAACGGTGAGACCGACCACGTTGACCAAATGTTGGATGATTTGCACGGGGTGTGTCCCACCTGTGACAAACGCTTCTTGGACAATGCATCATTGGAGAAGCACGTGCAGAGATTTCACAAGCGTCCCTACAAGTGTAATCTCTGTTCCAAATCGTACAAAACGCCGTACCTATTGAAGGTTCACAAGAAGACGCACACCGAGGTCTACGAGTGTACCGTTTGCGGATTGAAGTTTCAAAGACGTTTGGGTTTGCAACGACATCAGATTCGCTCGCACAGCACAGAGGAAAAGAAATATATGTGCGATTATTGCGGCAAACAGTTCAGACTCAAGTCCGACATTCACGTGCATATCACTAACGCACACTCGACCGACCGGCACATATGCGACGTTTGCGGCCGGACGGTGAAGTACCTGAAGTGTCATATGAGGAAGCATCTGCAGAAGCGCGATCTAAACAAATTCTCTTGCCACCTCTGTCGAAGGGTGTTCACGAGTCAGACCAAGCTGGACAACCATCTGCTGATGCACAAAGAGGTTTTCCAGTGTCAAGAGTGCGGTCTACAGTGTAAAGGACCTGTGGAGATGTCGCGTCATAAACGGGTACATCAGAATAATAGGGATAAGTGCAAGATATGCGGCAAGACATTCTCCAAAATGACTTTACGTACTCATATACTGAGTCATGCCGGCATGCGCCCTTACAAGTGCGACATTTGCAACGCGGATTTCACGCAACGATCTAGTCTCATGAGACATCGAAGGAGTCATCCTGGGCCTTTACCGCCGTTGGCGTCCGTTTCGATAACACAATTAGTGCAAAACATCCTGCAAAATCATGTCAGCTCAGAGTAAAGAGTGAATGGGAGAGAGATATTTATTTAAACTTTTTCTTTCATAATTTTTAATGGTTGAGCAGTATTGGAGTGTACAAAGATACGGGTAATGTGATACATATGCTTAATGTTCGTCTTTATTTTACGGTATGAATAGCAAGTTAATTTAATAATGTGTTAATGAAATAATTTGTATAATTTGTATGTTAAATTAATCTAAAAAGTTCTCTTTTGACGAATTGGATTATAGTGTGCCACAACAGAGATAAATGTTTACAAAGCAAATTTTTCCGCGAAATATGAAATATTTTCGCTGAAAATGTTCTTTGTTCATTATAGTAATATTATATATTATAATACTATAATATATAATATATTATATATTATAATATTATGTGGTTAATATAATAGTAATATTAAAAATAAGTTATTGTAAAATACGAATGATGATGTTGACTAATTGGTTGTTGATGTATTCAACTGCTGCATTCGCTGTCAAAATAAATTTTCATACGACGTTTTATACTCTCTAGCTGAGACTTAGAAATATTATCTTATTTCTAAATCTTCTATTTTTTACGGGTGAAAGGAAAAGCTTCCAGATGCCCTTTTTTCTACGTTATAAAAAATAATATTTACAACAGAGTGACGCACATTCCCTGCTGAGAACGTGAAGTATTCAATTTTGCTTCAAGAACAACGTCATAATTTTAATAACGATCATATATTTAAGAAGATGATTGTAAAAAAAAGTGGAGAAAGTTATTCCCGTGGGGTTCAGCTTTGCTTCTTGTTTATCTTAGCTGAAGTTGTACCGATGCATGCTTAAGTGCAACCAGCACGACCATATATTTTCATCACATAATCGACTGACAATTTTTATAATTTTTTAGGTGCAACCAAATAGATCCACTCTCGACGAATCTTCTGCTAGTAAAACTGGAAGACGATTATTATCGCATCCCAAAGTCATTGAGCGTGTTTATGAAGAAACAATCGTCGTCCACCGTGCAGGAAGATTTCAAGACCGAATCGACGAAAGGAACCAGTAAAAAACAGAAGGAGAACCGTCGCGTTCTCGAGAGAGAGGCCAGGAAGCGGAGTAAGCCGGTGAGCGAGTATTTCGATGATCTGGACGACGCGCCGCTCGACTTCAGGAAACGACAGGAGGACGAACTCGCGAAGACGCGCTCGAGTGGCAAGCCCGCAAGCAGCCTGAAGAAAAAGTCGCATATCTGCCAGATCTGCTACATCAGCTTCGACCGCAAAAGCAAGCTCACTAGTCACATGTTCAAACACAGCAACTCGCGGCCACATAAGTGCGCAATCTGCTCCAAGGGCTTCAAAACCGGTGCGTATCTTTCCAGGCACATGGAGATCCATGACGAGCCGGCGCAGCTGCACGCGTGCACTCTGTGCGAGTTCAAGGCACGCACCAAGCCGTATCTGAAGATACACTACATTCGCAAGCACACCGAGGACTACAACTTCCGGTGCGAGCAGTGTGGCAAGATGTTCAAGGTGCAATCCGACTACACCACGCACATTAAAGATCACGACACGGAGTCTTGCGTGTGTGACATATGCGGCACTTCTTACCCCAGCAAAAGCTCGCTGTACTTTCACAAGCACTACAAGCACAAGACCAAGGTGAAGGAGTTTGAGTGTCAGATCTGCCGAAAGCGCTTTAAAACCCAGAAGAACCTCGACAGCCATGCCGAGCTGCACAAGATGAAGTACGTGTGCGAGCAATGCGGTATGGAGTTCAAGTTTAAATACGGCCTCACGAAGCATCTGAGAACACATTCGGGCGAGAAGTCGTACCTCTGTGCGGTATGCGGCAAGACCTTCGGCTGCCTCAGCTCACAGAAGATCCATCTGCTGACCCACGTCGGGGAACGACCCTACGTCTGCGATATCTGTGGTCAGAGCTTCACCCAACGGTCGCCGATGATGCTGCATCGAAAGAAGCATCCGGGTGTGCATCCGCCGCCGCCACCCATCAAAATTACGAATCTACTGCACGGTGTGCAAGACAAAATTATCGTGAACAAAAATGTCAAATAAATTGTATATGTGTGCGTTATTAGACAGACCACGTTTGGTGGCAGTGAGACACATTGCCACACAAAACGATCGTGGGCGATTTTTGTATCTTTCTAAAACGATTGGACGACACATGAAGTGTGAGAAGCAACGTGTATTGTAAATACCGTCTATGGTGGTGATTCTGTGACATAAGATAACGAGATTATGGGCGATTCTGAATACCAATTCAGTAAGGATTTGCAGTGCCGCCTTGTGATGAGAATCCTGAGGTCAGAGGATTTAATTCTCGAAAGTACACGCCATTGTGTTCGTGTAGGACCACCAAGTAATACTCGTATATCGAATTGACTTAGATTCATGAGTCATGCTGTTATGAGTGCAGATAGAGATGGAACATAGTTTCATTCCATCTCTATTTGTTGTAAATAGGTCGCAGGTGAGATATGATTTACTATTGTTAGAGATATTATATACCCGGTATTTCATATAACTTAATTTTATTTTTGATGAATATATATATATATATATATATATATATATATATTCAGCTTGATTCGCTCGTCGTTTAATTACATTTCGCTTCTGCACCTAAGTCTTCCAGTGTGCAAAGTTCAATATAAAGTACGCCAGCATTTTCACAAAATCGAATTCGATGACATTTGTTTTTGAAATATTGCATCCGGATACGGTGTGGATATTATTTTCCATTCAATTTCTTGATCAAAGTGAAATTTTTACGTGAGTTACAAATATGTATCTCGAGAAAGATTCTTGCCAGTTTTAGTTGCCTTCTATTTGTTTTATGCAATGTACAGCGTAAAATCGATGTAATATACTAAATAAAGACGTATGTTTTTAGTAAACGAATTTATTCATATTTATATATTACGAATGTAATGTAACATAAATGAAAGTCTTAACTTCTTGAAATTTTTCAGGCATTGTTATTGGTTTAAGCAGAAATGTATTTGATATATTTTCAAACTAAAATATAGCGGATAATTAATACATTTTAAAAGGAAATTCCAGATGTATGTGAAAATGTGCCAACTACTTTTATGATATATTTTCATACTACGGTGTATCTTCATATATTCTTTATATTTACGAAGAAAGTGCAGATAAACAATTTAATGCACAATGTGTTCGCTCAAAGACGATTGTAGTAAGTTGCCGTGTATTTTTAATACAAAATATTTTTAACGAAATGTATATATTTAACATTATGAATTTATATCATCGGATAATGATGTTTGGGTTGTTTAGGTGCTCGTCAACAGACAATGACATGAAGAAAAAGGTCATTTGCATCGTTGTGACAAAGAGCTGGCTAACATCGTCGGAGATGAAACAAGTTGCACGTGTTGAAGGATCATCATCTGCGAAGAGAGTTAATTCTTCTGCGGCTACGGGATCGCGACAGAAGAGCGCGATAGTCACCTCCCACGCAGCTTCGCTGAAGGAAAAGATACACTGCGACATTTGCGACGTAACCTTGCGGGAGTCGCAATACAAGAAACATCTTATAAAGCACAGTAGTCGTTACGATTTTCAGTGCGACGTTTGCAAGAAGAAGTTCAAACACAAGGTTAACATGAACGTACACAAAATGAAGATCCATGGAGAAGCGCCGACGTATAGCTGCCAGTATTGCGACTTCTCCACGATACACTCCTCCTACCTGCAGGTGAGTGCTCCTGCACGAAATTCATTGTTAGTTACAGAATTCAATTGGTATTGGCGTATTGCTTGTACTTTGAATTACTCGCATATTCTAATTCACGGCGTTTGAAGCAACTTTTACGTTTGCCACTTTTCTATACCACAATATGTTGTATCGTCGCAATTCGACGACGCGTTGAAGTATACACGAGGAGAAAACTATCTCCATTTGATCTTGCCTCGTTATTTCAACGTAAGACGATAATAGACAAGGCGATAACGCACCAGTGTGTTTTGCAGGTGCACTTCATGCGCAAACACACGGACAACTTTCACTACTCGTGCGACAAGTGCGACCGAAAGTTTCGGGTCAAAGCTGATTACACCAAGCATCTCATCACGCATGAAGACAACCCGTGTATTTGCGATGTGTGCGGCAGTGCATTGGCCAACAAGTTGGCCCTCTATTTTCACAAGAACTACAAGCACCGAGTGAAAGACACACGGTTTCAGTGTCCAGTGTGCAAGAAAAAGCTCCAGACGCAAAAGAACCTGGACAGTCACGTGCAGCAGCACAAGCAAAGATATATGTGCGAGGAATGCGGCATGGAGCTGACTCGCAAAACCTCTTTGAAAAGGCACATCAAGACACACACTGGTGAGAAGTCATATCTGTGCAACATCTGCGGAAAGGCTTTTGCTAGCGCGACCGGCCGTAAAGTGCATCTCCTCACACACTTGGAGGTTCGTCCCTACGTTTGCACGATATGCAAGAAAAGTTTCACTCAACGTCCCGCCTTATCCGTTCATTGGAAAAAGAAACATCCTGACATCACGGACGCGCCACCACCTGTTCGGATAAAGAATATTATCGAAACAATAACAGTCAAAGACACAAAGTGAACAAAGTAGATCTTTTATATTTGCAAAACTAGAAATGAAAATAGTCTACTACATTTTGTTTCGACGAGAGGAATCTAATGAAATAAACACACATCGTGTGTGTATCAAAAGTGATCATGTTTGTTAACTTTTCTTTTTTTTGTGTCTTGAGATATGATAATTTATTTTTTTTTTTATACATAACATTTCTTTATATGATATGTAATCGAGAACTTAACATTTGATTGTGATTATCGTCTCTATTAAGCTAATGTGATTGTGTATCAACAAGTACAGAACATTAAATGTAAAGAAAATCTATCGAAATATATGTGACACATATCTAATATTATAAAATATAATATGTAATTATCTTATATCTATATACTATTTAATATTTTGTTTAATGCAGTTTTCAGCGTTTCCTCCCACTTTTTAATAATTAATAAAACGGAATGTATCATTATCTTCTTAGTAACTACACAATTGAAGGATCATGTATCGATATTTTGGATGTAATTCTCTGTAATAATTTTTGTATATTGACTTTTATAATTCGTGTTTTAGGAGGTCTGTTGCTGATCAGAAAGATGAATTCGTGAAATTTCGTGTAACGTTGTGTCGAGAAAAAAATCGATATTTTCAACGATAAAGCAGCTGGAGCAATACAATTACAAATATAAAAACAAATTAGAAATATTGAGTTTGGAATTCAGTTGAAGATCTTTGAAGAGTGTAACGAAAAGTGAAAAGAAGATGGAAGATGTGGATATCAAACAGTTGTATAAAGCCGTCGTCTACAAGAAATTATCTCATCGGTGAGGCATATATGAAGAAAGATGCAACTTACAAAAAATTTTACTGATAAAAATTATATATACGTGCGATGCTTGTCAGGTAGTGTTTGTATAGAGTCCTGCGATACATCAAGAGCATCATTTGTAACATTATTTTTGTCTCTTCGAACATACAAAAGGAAATTCAAACACAATCACGACTTAAAGACTAAATCGTCTACAAGGAGATAAATTCCAATTCGCTGTTATAAGTACAACTATCACAGTGAAGAGCCACTTGAAATACATAAAGATCGCTTCAATGTGCGAGCGATGCGACAAAAGATTTAAGATGGAATGAAACTTCAGGTTCCATCTCGCGATATGCATAACAACTTCGAGCATGTATACATAGAAGAGTGACGAATGTAAACGAATACAAATTTCGTTGTGACAAGAGACTTCTGATGCAAAAAATCTGCGATCATGCGGTGACACGACAAAATCTACGATTGCAAGGAGTATAGCAAGATGAACCTCGAAGAGATATGTTATGAAAATTCGAAATCACATCACTGGAATTGACGAGTTTAATTTTATACATAATCGAATGTATCTGCTCGATATTATCTCAATATTACGCAAAAATAAATTGTGGACGAAACGACCAGATAGCATTTAAATTAGTTATAAGTTTATTTACGACTGAGGGATTATATTTGTAAAGCGATCTATTGTATTAAGTTATCTTCTATTAATGGTATTCTTTTTTTAATTTACACAAGAACTACATTTTTCTTGACGTAGCGTAAGTATGAATCTGAATCGTTTGTGTCGTTGGGAGCAATTTTAGTATCGTTCGCACGGTGCTCAATAAAGCTCTAGATTCGAAGGATTCTCAATAAACAACTCTAACCTAAGTCAAAAGGATATTAATAAAATTCGTGATCCTTGAATCACGAATTAGCTCCTCGAGAGCTTGAGATCGTAACTTTCTTGTAGAAACGACTTTTAAACCCCGAGTAAGTAGTGCTTGAAATGTCCAATTCCCCGAGATATCGTCGATACTAACCATTATATTCTGATATGTTTTAGAGCACGAAACCGCAGCAAGAAGATCTTGCAGACGGACTCTTCCGGTTGCTTTATTGTTGGAAAAGACTCGATACCCATGAGATTGTGGCAGCACACCGACGCCTGCGGTAAACTGCACTATTCGTTGGTACCGGCATCAGACCACGCTGCTAAAGCCGAGGAAGATATCAGCGTGCTTAGATCGCCGTCTTTGACCTGCATTAAAATCGAGGAATCGGAGGACCAGTCGAGCGGTCAGAAAAGCAGCGACTACGCCGTCAGTCGTCACATGGGTTCATCGATGCACTCGCACAAAGTGATCGTTGACGGGTATGCCTGTGACAAGTGCGGTATGAAGTTTCCTATGCGATCTATGCTGAAACGCCATAAGATCACGCACAATGTACAATTGTGGATTCGCGGAAGGCACTCCAAGTTGAAGCACACGCAGCGACTACGAGCTTGCAGACGAGTTGGATCTTCAAAGGTGTGCAAACGTCTTGAACGAATGAAGCACGTGTGCGCATTTTGCGATTTCGGCTGTAACAGATCGACGATTTTGGCCGCGCATGTGAAAAAGAAGCATATAGATAAGCATGACACGAAGGCAAACCCGAAGAAGCAACAGCAGCTTAGCTGCGCGATCTGCGGTCACGAGTGTTCGAACCAAGAGAATCTCAACAGGCATATGTCGAAGCACCGAAGCAAAAGCACGACGAGCTTCGCCTGCAATTTGTGCGACTTTAAATGCAAGAGGAGCACCACTCTAGCGTCCCATTTGGCCCGTAATCATAAGAAATCCAAGAAAGACCCGAACACGTGCGCGAGCAAGAGCACGAGACGCAGAACGACAAAGTGCAATCACACATCGCCGAAGAAGGTCAGTCCGCCGGTTGCTTGCTCGTACAATCGCGAGGTAGCTAAGAAGGTAGTCACTTCTCAAGAGAATTCCGAACTGGTGATCAAAGAGGAAGTTGGCACTGAGGATTGCAGCGAGGTGTTGACGGTCGATGCGACGAAGGAGAGCGATGTCCAGAAGAGTGTCGAGGTGCACTGCGACCTTTGTGACTTCACGTGCTCGAAGAAGAGCACTTTGTACTCGCACAAACGCCGACACAAAGTGGAAAACGAAGTGTTTGCGTGCAATGAGTGCAGCTTCAAGACCATCAAGAAGTCTTCCCTGTATTCCCACATTAAACGCAAGCACAAAGAGCCGCGGTCATGCGGCGGCGTCAGCGGTAGCGGCGACGCACAGCAGCCCGAGCTGTTCTACTGCAACCAGTGCGATTACAAGAATAAAAACAAGTACGAGCTGAAAGTGCATATGGCGCGCAAGCACTCGGACGACTTTAAGTTCTCCTGCGAGACCTGCGGCAAGAAGTTCAAAGTCAAGGGCGACCTCACCAACCATATCCGCTTCAGCCACCGGGAGCAGCCGGTCATCTGCGACGTCTGCGGCAAGACCTGCCTGAACAGCAACTCCCTCTACGTGCATCAAAAGTTCGCGCACTACAAGGCCAAATACGAGTGCCAAGTGTGCAAGAGGCGGATGGTCAGCCAGGAGAATCTTAACGAGCACATGCTCCGGCAACACGAGCGGCGTGAGAACGTGGTGTGCGAGGAGTGCGGTAAGACCTTCTCGCGGAACAGCAGGTTGAAAGTGCACATGAGGATCCACACCGGCGACAAGCCGTACAACTGCACCGTCTGCAACAAGTCGTTCGCGCGCAGGACCGCGCTCAAGCAGCATCTGCTCATTCACACCGGCATCAGGCCGTACGTATGCGACATTTGCGGCAAAGCCTTCACGCAGAAGCCGGGTCTCATCAGCCACAGGAAGTCGCATCCGGGCTCGCATCCGCCGTTGCCGCGTGTGCTCATCGACCATATCTTGAATGACGTGATGAACGCCTGACAGAGTGATTGAGCGTCGACGTGAAGAGCCCGCGTGCGTGCAGTCCCGCGATACGAATCGTGCACGCATAGTCGTGCGCTTGCGATCATAACTCTATGTGGAAAAGTGTGTCTATGTAATCGACATTCTCTTGTCACGCGATATCGAACGATGGCACGGCAATTTTTTATCAGGTGATACGATAGCTAGGAGGAATGACGATGATATATATGTGTATGCATGCCTGTCGTTCGACAAGAAAAATATTGAGAAATGTCGCTCGCGAGGGAACTTCCGATTGCCATATGAGAGTGCAAATGAGAGTCCTTGACATATACCTTTTTGTATCACGTTGTCTGGTAATGGCATGCATTTTTCCGCAGGATATAATAAACATATACGCGTGTCTTTTCGTATATGTAGATTCGTTACTTCGTTTATAGTTATGGATTTTCTATCGCTGGTTTGTTTAATTTGTTTATTACGCGTTGTGTTATAATTCCACAGAATTATTGGTAGTCAAAGATCCCGAGAAGGATTTCGCTGCCGTATCATACTCGTAGCATGAGATTGGTTATTGTAATCTCATTTATGCTCGATCATCTTTTGTTAACTTATTTGTAAGTTGTTTCTTATGTTTTTTTTTTTTTTTACGAGGAAACATTCGTATTCCGGGTGTCTACATAAAATCGTAGCGAGCATTCGATTGTAATGCAATAGACGTAATCGCAAGAGGAGGGTGCTTAGATCTTAATATTTGTACGGCACATATTTTCCTAGAACATCGCCTCTGGTACCCTAAGCTTAATTATTTCTTTTTATACATATATGTGATCATAATTATTACTGTATATGTGATTAGCTGTGTAATCGAGAGAGAGGGGGAGAGAGAGAAAAAGTGTGTGTGAGAGAAAGAATGTATGCGTGTGATTTAAATATTCTCCAAATGTGTATTACGAATTTCCATATGTTATTACGAAAGTTGTCTATTGTTGTTAGTGCGAAGAACACAACTGTGACTGTCATCATCGCATTGTTTGCGGCTACAATTTCCTCCTACAACTTCGGAGGATTATTGGAGGATAATGTATAAATGATTATCAAAATCCAAAATACTCTCGTTATATTTTACATAGAACATACTCCTGAATCCATTTGTGTCAATCAAAAAAAAAAAAAAAACACTTCCCTCATTCCCAGCACATTAAGTATCGAACGTCTGCATTATGTTTCGAAAAAACTAAATCGCAAAAATAGAAACGCCGTTCTATATTGGCCTCTCAACGAGAATGAACACCCAACCAGTAGAATACCCAACTAACTGTGCTGTATGATTTTCAGGGTCTTAAACGGAAACGGATATTTTCTGTATGGCAAAGAATCTATTCCGATGCTGCCGTGGCAGATTGTTGATCTGGAGGGCAATCCCTATTATGCCTTCCTTCCAGCGAATGAAATACCAAAGACCGAGGAGAAAAGTCAACTCAATTCCAAGCCACCCCCTCCCGACATGTTGGACGTCGTTGTCGACGATACCGAGGAAGCCATCGTAGTCACGTCGGACAATGATATGACTTACACGGATTCGTTAGGCAATTTCTACACTATGAAGATAAAAGATGAAACTACGAAGGACGGACCTTTCGTAGACGAAAACGAGTTTGACAATGACGTCTACACCTGCGAGGACTGCAACATTTGCTTCCCGGTGTTGCAGATGTTGAAGCAGCACAGAAGAACAATGCATATGGAGAAGATGCCGCGGTACAAGTGTAAGTTGTGCCCTAAGATCTGCCGTAGTTCAATCGCGTTCAGGATGCATATGAATCTGGAGCACAACAAAGAACAGAACACGGACGAGCAGAATACAGACGAACAGAATACAGACGAACAGAATATAGACGAGCAGAACACAATAAGCGTGGAAAAGCAGTCTGAGATATATCGCTGCGACTTTTGCAATTACGAGACTATCAACAAGTCGACCTTCAAATCGCACATCAATAGGAAGCATTCAGCGTTACTCAGGAGCAACAAGCGAAAAGGCGCCGCCGAACCGGAGGAGTACACGTGTGACGGATGCAGTTTCAAGTGTCAAAGCAAACGTCGGCTGAAGGAGCATCTTGAGCGTAAGCATTTGTCCGAGTACAAGTACAGCTGCGAATACTGCAGCAAGAAGTTCAAGGTCAGGAGCGACATGAGGCTGCACGTACGCTTCAAGCACAAGGAAGGCCCGTTAGTGTGCGACGTGTGCGGCAAGACCTGCTCCAACAGCAACTCGCTCTACGTGCACCAGAAGTGGGCGCACTTCAAGCCCAAATACGAGTGCAAGATCTGCAAGCGGCGCATGGTCACGCAGAAGAACCTCGACCAGCACATTCTGCTGCAACACAAGTGCAAAGAGAGTTTCGTCTGCGAGGAGTGCGGCAAATCGTTCTCAGAGAACCACCGACTAAAACAGCACATGATGACACACACCGGCGACCGGCCGTTTGATTGCCACATCTGCAACAAGGCTTTCTCGCGCAGGACAGCCTATAGGCAACATCTGCTGATTCACACGGGCAAACGGCCGTACGTCTGTGATATCTGCGGAAAGAGCTTCACGCAGAAGCCCGGATTGATTTGCCATCGCAAGTCGCATCCGGGTGTGCACCCACCTCTACCGGTAGTGTACATAGATCACATCCTTAACGATTTCATGAAGAACAAGTGATCGCGCGAGAGAGTGTCGTGTTAACGCGAATGCTGCAAAAGAAAATTCGCGATAATTTGACTGTTTTTTTATTCAAAACGAGATTGCTTATTTCACACTTCATTTTAATGCCGCAGATTGCAAGGAAAATAAGAGAAAGCGAAATATTATATTGTATAATAATATATAATATACATATATATATATACATACATACATATATATATATATATATATATATATATATATATATATATATGTATGTATATGTATGTATATTATATATTATTATTATAATGTTTTAATTTTGCATCAATAAAATGGAATGCTGGAATTAATCAGATCTATACCCAAACAGCACACGATATCCTATGGGCATTCCGTGGATGTCCTCAGGACATCCAGAGGAGATTTGTGCTGTCTGGGATATAAAATTGTTATTTAAAAATAAATATTTTTAAATAAAAAAAGTTAACGTACTCTATGCACACACAACATTACATATATATTATCCTATATAGTGTGATAAATAGCAGAATGTATTTTAATAAAAAAAGAGAATACAAAAATATTAATGTCGATTTATTTGCGAACTAATATTTATTTTTTTTCTCATGAAATTTTATCAATTAATATTAATTACAGTACATATAATTTCGATTTTAATAAATGGTAGTAATTTCGCTATCTTTATAAATCTATGTTATTTTACATGACACAGGAATAGTAAATAACAGGACTAAGAATTGTAAGTACAAAAAGTTATATGTAATTGAAATCTGCGTATAAGGATTAATATACCTAGAAGGAGTTTCAGGTGCGCTTGCTGCAACAGAAGATTCGTATTTTTCTATTGTAAGTTATGTTAATAACTTAATGAAGAATCATGCTTTCGCATCGTTATTGCCTCAAGACAGCGTAAGTGTAATTGGTTTAATCTATTTTTACGCAAGACCACTTTTGTAACACTTTTCTCCTAATTCTATTTCAGGAAGATCACTCGTGTTATTTTGAATGTGTCCATGGAAAACACTTTATGTTCTTAACAAGAAATCTATAACCAACTTTATTACCTATGCAACTTTATTTATGATTAATTATTAAAAATTATATATGTAAGATTTAGGAATATCGAGAAGGATATACAGTGAATCATGAAGAAACTTTAATAAAGATATTCTCTCAAATATTTTCAGCAATATTTTTAACTTAATTTCGAATGTTATAAGAAAGGATTCTTTTACTGAAACGTTGTGTGCTGTCTAACGATCTTTGGTATCGAAAACGCCAACGCGAAGCTGTCTTTGCATACGATATGTTTGACGTTTCTCTGTGTACTTGATGTTTCTCTGTGTGAAATAAATATGTCGTAATAATACTGCATCCTAAACATCCTGCACTGACAATTCCCATTTTTCCGTACAGAAAGTTGAAAATATTTTTAACATTTATAGCAATGTCTTCGAAAATTTTAGTTTCGAATGTAAGTAGTCAAATATACGTAAGCTCGCCAACTGCGGAACCGTAATAAAGATGTTTCTTCGTGCTGTTTTAGGGTGACCATCATCACGGACGTCAGCGATGCGACGACGCAGACTCGAGAGGAATCGCCTGTTGTCAAAGAACAGAAGACATCTTCGGAGAAAAAAAATTGCAAAAAGCAGGACTTCGCCTGCGACGTTTGTTCCAAACGACTCAAGACCAAGTATTTGCTAAAGCTACATAAACGCACGCACGCGACGGAACGTGTGCCAAGTGCGAAGAAGAGGCCCGCGTTGTCTCGTAATCAGGAGGCACTCTCCTGCCTAACCTGCGACTTTCGGTGCAATAAGAGGTCCACGATGATCGCACATCTGTCCGAGCACGAAAAAGAGTCCACAACCACCACTGTCATCGCTATCACTCCCGCCCCCGCCCCCATCACCACCACCACCACCACCACCACAACCACTATCACCACTAGTACTACCAGCAACATCAACACGATGAACAGTGACAAGCAAGAGCTCACGTGCATCGTCTGCGGGGTGGTGTGCGCTCGCAAGGAGACTCTGAGATCGCACTTCGTGCGCAAGCACACGCAGCAGTACAGCTACTCGTGCGAGCACTGCGGCAAGGAGTTCAAGATCAAGGGCGACCTCACCACGCACACCCGACTGAATCACCGCGAATCGCCGGTGATATGCGACGTCTGTGGTAAGACTTGCCGTAACAGCCACAGTCTGTACACTCATCAGAAGCACGCGCACTACAAGGCGAAGTACGAGTGTCCGCTGTGCCATCGGCGCTTGGTCACGCAGGAGAACCTGGACCAGCACATGCTGACGCAACACGAGAGGAAGGAGAAATCCGTGTGCGAGGAGTGTGGCAAGACCTTCTTTGAGAATTACGACCTGCGGAAGCACATGAGAATCCACACCGGCGACAAGCCATACAACTGCACCGTTTGTAGCAGAGCTTTCGCCAGACACAGCAGCCTCAGTCAGCATCTCCTGCTGCACACCGGCGAGCGCATTTACGCGTGCGACGTCTGCGGCAAGTCCTTCGCGCAGAAGGCCGGCCTCATCTGCCACCGAAAGATCCACTCGGGCACTTTGCCACCGTTGCCGGTGATACATATCGATCACATCCTAAAGGAATTCATCAAGAAATAAGAGACTGCGAGGTCGAACGGCAACAACGACAACGACGACGACGATGATGATGTGCCTTATGTTTCGAGAATGTTTATTCTTTTTTTTTTGCCTTTTTTTGTTTTGTTCCACTTGACAAAGTGGACTTATTGACGATCAATAAGCTCGTCTAATTTACGATTATGTGCAACTAGGTACTGCATCGGACTTGATTAGTCGTTGAAAAAGGAACATTGATACTTAGCACGAAACATTTGTCTGTGACATGGCGTTGACAATGATAAACATGGAAATATCAAATGGACGTAGCACTTTCACTTGTAGTTGCAGAAAATATGTTAGACGATACGGTTTGCGGGATCATAGATATGTTAAATATAAGAAGTTATTATGAATCTTTTTGCGATATCGCGTGTACGAGAAAAGATGCTTCTGATCATCCATTTGGTCTTTTTAATACATGCATTATTCCATCAAGCATGCATTTACATTTGGCGCAGTATATTTTAGCTTAGATATTATTTTAGTGAAATCCTTATATACAAGAAACACATCATCCTCAGGATGTAGAATTCCACAAAAACGTTTATAATATCTGAATTCTCGTTACTTTGAAAATTCTATGATTTATTCTATGATCAAAGCTGCGTTCTGCTGAAAAATCGACATGTGCATATATATATATATATATATTTGTGAAACAGTTGTATAAAATTTTTTGTAATAACGGTATTTATGAATCTTATTTCGTAAAGCCTACTTGACTATTGATTAGTAAGGGTTAAGTATCGTAGCTTTATAGATCTAAAGAGGATACATTATTTATATGTGCGAAACAGATTCATATTTTACTGTTATTCATGTTGAATATCAACCCGCCGCTGTTCGTTCTTCCATTTATTTTTTACCGCTACGATATTATAAGTTACTTAGAAATGCTAATTACGAGAAAAATATATATGTTTCTAAGAACTTTTAATAAATACATCATTGGTTATGTATACTAAGTGTGCGTATGTAATGACACTTTATTCGATTGATATTTTTTCTTTTATTTACGAATTTTCCCTGTTTTATGATGGCAGTTTCGTAGCTAATGCGGTTAACGCAACGGCCTGCGATGCTGATCTGCGAGAAAGGTAGTTTTAGCTTTTTACTTGTGAGTACCATGACTGATCTGATCTATAGCTTTAAATACATACACGATAAGTTAAGTAAGATTTCATATCGTAGAAATTACATGGCGAGACAGCGGTAAATCGCCCGGAATGGAAACGATTTACAGCCAACATGATAGTTTCAGTTCTTAGTAATAATCGATCTATCCTTTAATGTTTCAGGTATGACGAGGGCAACAACAATCCTCGCGGTATTTTCATCTTTGATAAAGAATCGGTGGTAATGAAGAAATGGCAGATTCTGGAGTTCGACGGCAAACCGTATTATGCGTTTGTGCCCGAGGAGGAAGACATGCCATTGCCAGATGAAGAAGAAGTGCCGGAGCAAATAGAGCAATTAGATGACGAACTAGAGGATGAAACCACCGACCTCGGTTTGAAACAGGAACTAGTCTTCGATGGAGAAACTTACTACGACTCCATGGAGGAGAAACTGTATGAGAATGATAACATCTTCAATGGAAACGCCGACGAAAAGAAGGAGAGTCAAAACATAAAGCCTATTATGTACAACGGCGTCAAGGAGAGCAACAAATCGAACATGGGAGATTTATATCAGGTGAAAGTGCAGGGTAGCGTGGTGACTCTCGAGAAGCTCACATCCACGGAGGAGATAGTGGAGGAGCAAGTGGAGGCGACAAAGGGGACTGAGGAATATCAAACGGAGGACTACGACTACGAGGTGGCGGAGGTGGCGGACATCGAGTATCTCGAGGATGAAGTAATTGAAGAGCCCAGCATCAACGACACCAGCGAATCACCCGCAAAAGCGACTGAAAAGTCACCGAGCTCCAGTGGTGCGCTCAAGTGTAGGGTATGCTCGGAGACGTTCACGTCCGAGATAGCCTTCAGGAAGCACGTGGCGTGGACGCACAAGAAGAAGGTGTGCATCAAGGAGGACGGTGCTTACATATGCGCCGTGTGTGATTACAGGACGTTGAAAAAAAGTCTGTTCGCCGCGCATCTTGAGAGGAAGCACGAGACCTGGTCGAGGAAGCGGCAGAACACCATGGTATTCCCATGCGCGGCTTGCGGTTTCGTATGTAGATCCAAGCATTCCCTGCAGTCACACTTCATTCGGAAGCACACGGACCGCTACGAGCATCAGTGTAATTTCTGTTCGAAGAAATTCAAGGTCAAGGGTGACCTCACCAACCATATACGGTTCCATCACAAGGAGAAGCCGGTCAAGTGCGACGTGTGTGACAAGCTCTGCTTGAACAGCGGCTCCTTATACGTCCACCAGAAATGGGCTCACTACAAGCCAAAGTACGAGTGCCACATCTGCAAGAGACGCATGGTAACGCAGGAGAACTTAGACCAACATTTGTTGACGCAGCACGAGAAGCGCGACAAGATAGTGTGCGCGGAGTGTGGCAAGACGTTCACCAAGAAGGACTCTTTTAAGCGCCACATGGTAGTGCATACCGGTTGTAAGCCTCATTCCTGTTTGATCTGCAACAAACCGTTTGCCAGACGGTCACAGTTACGTCAGCATTTGCTGATCCATACCGGCAAACGGCCGTTTGTCTGCGACATTTGCGGCAAAGCGTTCACGCAAAAGCCGGGCTTGATCTGCCACCGGAAGACTCATCCCGGGCCGCACCCGCCGTTGCCTGTGATGCCGATCGCGGACATCGTTAAAGAGTTCACGGATGGATATGTGCAGGAGATTAACGCGCGTGAGAGCGGCGAGAGGATCGAAGAGGAAGTGTGAATATCCCGGCCGTTGTCGAGTTGCCGTCGAGCGTGAGTCTGAGTGTGTACGCATACCTCAGAGTTCTATTTCTTATTGATGTAACAACAAGAATGTATGACTCGTTGCACGCCGTAAGTGACGAAATTCATTAGAATTCTCTTGCTTTGTCGAGGGCGTTACGCACCTCGGCATTGTCAAACGGCGATTCTTGAACAGCGTATATATGAAGTAATTGTGAAATATTTGCCTCCACTTCTCCTCCGATGAAACTTGAACGAAATTATCTCTGATTACGCGTGAAACCATGTCCATTATCACTGAGAAACGAGCATCCCGCTACACACATCGTCAATGAATCTGAACAAGCGACATTTACATTGTGAATTTTAATTACCGCCCGATACTTTCAAGATATTATTGAAAGGTAACTTGACGTAAGAGACAGATTGTTCTCGCGATACATATACATAATGAAGTGCAGAATAAAACGTGTACTTGTGTGTGATTTTGACATTTCCGTGAGTATCGGATACTTGTATGCGAAATTGAATAAAGCAAAAGTAGAGATATACATTGTATAGGACGGTGTGATTAAACTATTGTAAATTACAGATTTCTAAAAGGAATTAATTAAAGGGGAGCACACTCTTGTCTGTTCCGCGTTTAACACTTGCCTGTTCAACACTTTAATTTGGTATCAATCATATAAATATTTGGAAAAAAGAAGTTAAAAGCTGAGCTCAGCAGAATCATCTTTGTGTAAAAGTGATTCTTTTACAACTACAAAAATTCTCAGAGAAATACTGTAATAATCCTTTATTTCTTTAAGATCTATCGCCAAAATTTTATTTTTACTTCCTAATTCAACATTTTCTACTGAAAAAAAAAAAATTATAAAGTAGCAAAATTCTTTTAAGAAAAACTTTTATATGCGTTGGAGATATTTGTCCGTGTAGTAAAATAATTGATGGTATAACGACAAGATGTACAATTGTTCTACACATAACTTAAATTTCTGCAACTATTGTATAGTAAGCCACTTTTTGTTATTCAAAGTTCTTGTTATTTTGTATGGAGAAACAATTAACTTTTCGTACCATTGCCACTTTCTTCACGCTCCCAATCTGCCAATCGTTCGTGCATAAATTTTTAAAATATACAAGATATTTTATCAATGTAAAACTTTATTATGTTATTATATCATGTAATAACATAATCAAGCATGCATTCCATGCATTGTCTTCTCCATACATTGTATACATGTTCTCTGAAATATATTGCTTATCAGTTTAGAAATAATAACACATAATTCTTCGTGTGAGGAACAAAAGGAGGAAACGTACGTCACAGAGTTATTTTTTCTAAGACAACTGCGTTCACATACAATACACTTACACACAACAAACACACACACAGATTTCCGTTTAAAATAAATATTTTCAACAGCACGGATCTCTGTGTAAATTACCTTTGAAAGCGACAATTTACTAAAGTGCAACTAGTATATATTTTTATATATATTTATGAGCATGATTTCTCGTTGTCAGATTGATTGTTTTATTATAGTTAAGGACATGATGAATCTCGCTGTGAAAGCGAACACTGAGAGGTTTTTCAAAGATAATTGAAATGTCCTAGAACGTTATGTAAAATCTCAATACGAGATAAGTATATTTTTTACATTAACTGTTGTTACACGGAGTCTTCAATAATTAATGTCTCTCTTGAAATTTTCAGGAGCGCAAGCTATATGGTAAAAATTGAGGTAGAAGATTTTATTGTGGAGCCTCCGCCGCAGTACGACATGGTGTATTGCGCGAAAGAATTCGCAATGAACCACCCAAACGGAGTAAAAGACGAATCTGAAAATTCGGACGTCACAACGTTTTCTTTACAAATGTTCGAGAATTCTATTCGAATGACAAACAAGTCTCCAGGAAATGAGGTCGAGTGTTCAGCAACTTCCATGAACTTGTCGCAGCCAAGTAATCATGCAGGCGACTACCATCATTTCTACAAACATTGCGATCAGCTGAAGGACAAGCTACACCAACACGTGGAGCAAATGCACATGTCTAACAGCCGATCAAACTTCAACTGCGAGTCGCTACAGCAGCATAGCGAGCTGCACAAGCATTATGAGCAGATCAAGTGTCCGATATGCAACAAGATCTACTTAAACGGCAACGTCATGAGACAGCACATGAGAATCCTCCACAACGCATACACCCCCGGATCATACATCTGCACGGTCTGTGGCAAGTCTTTCATCAACAAGTGCTCGTACGAGAAACATCTGCGCGCACACACGAAGCCCCAGATATACACCTGCAACATCTGCGATAAAAAATTCATCCAAAAATCGCATCTGACTAGACATTGGAACAGACATCCGGGCTACCGTCGCTCTTTACGATATTTACAAATGATGTCATGAAGGATCTGCCGAAGTGGACGAAGAAAAAGTAACGCAAGATGTTCGAGATCTTTGGATAGATTTTCATCCGAAGGGATTCGCGAAGAATTCACGACATAGAAAAGGAGATTATGTGCGTGCGTGTGTGTGTATGTGTGTTTGTGTGTTGAGAAAAAATTTTGTAACGAATAAATAAGTTTTGTAATGTAAATTACTTTTCTACGATTTATTTATGAAGACTTATTATTTTATGCAGAATGAAAACTTATTTGCTTGAATTCTTGAAGTAAAATGCGTTGAGTGCACGCGCTCATTACGTTTCTGCCAACACGTGTGTAACTTCATGTAGTCAGCACATTGACAGCGTGCAATGGTTGTATCTGCCGGTTGTCCGAATCAGCTGCGAGTGTTACTTGCGCTGCAAAAAACGCTTTTCCGTTCGCGGTACGATAATTGAAAATGATCGTTTTGAGATGTTCCTTTAGGATATGTAAGTGCGCATTAATATGTAACAGTACGGAGGTTTATCTTTATTTCTGCGCAAAATAACGAGGCCGCTTTTAATTCAGAGCGATGAGTGTTTTCTACTGTGGACAGTAGCGACTTGATGATATAGGTAGTATCCCCTGATTAACCTTTTTTTCTGCTGCAAACAGTCGTCTTCAATTATGTAGTATTGGCGTTTTGAACTTGCTGTAACACTTTTAACGAAGATACGTAAATATATATTAAAATATCAGACTGACGAAACTGTCATGATTAACGGACCTTTGCATAATCGCCGTGTACTCTTTGAGACTCTCTTTGCAAAACATTCAACTCCTATTATATTTTCCGCAAACGTCGGCTGTAATTGAAGTGTTTTCGAGCAAAGCGCATACATTGTTGAAGAAAGAAATTTGGAAAAAAGGCATTCCTTACATCCCCGAACGTACAATGACGAGAATGTTTTTTTTTCTGTTTTAGGTTTCATTTGCTGCAGATCAACGACATCAAGATCGAGGGATCGCACATGTCCCATGCGTTTTTGGCCAGGATGGCGAACGCCGGCGTGGCGAGCACTCTAGGTGGTAGCAAGGAGAACAAGAGAGCAATGAGGAAGTCACCGCACCTGCATTACGCTTGTGACATCTGCACCTTCTTCTGCCGCACGAAAGGGAGCCTGAGGAAGCACGCGCAGCTACACAGGAACACGTGTAGAATATGCGGCGAACGCTTTGCCACGACCGACAAGCTGGAGATTCACATGGTGCTGAATCACGGCGAGGCCAAGTACTCGTGTCAGCTCTGCTACACCGTCACCTGGAACGTGGCGGACATGACGGAACACTTCTCCGCGAGACACTTGGACTCGACCCACAACAACTGCAGCATCTGTAACAAGGAGTACCGATCGAAAATCGGCATACAGAGGCACATGTACAAACACCACTGCAGCGTTTCCGTGGCGTGCACCATCTGCAGGCGCATCTACAAAAGCGTAAGCGCTCTAAAGACGCACACCAGGCTGGTGCACCTCAAGTCCGGCTACCAGTGTGGGATCTGCAAACGACGCGTTGCCACCGCGGCGTCCCTGGAGGCGCACATGCGTCGGCACGAGAACACGGGACAGCCGACGAACCCTGAGACATATGTGTGCACCACCTGTGGCGAGTCCTTCCTCAACAAGCGCGACCTCAAGAGCCACGTAGTCAGTCACGGCAGGGTCAAGCCGCACGTCTGTCCGGTCTGCCGGAAGGCCTTCGAGGAGCGGCGCGTGCAGGTGCAGCACATACTGACGCACATGAACACGCCGTTGTACGTGTGCGACGTATGCGGGATGAAGTACTCGCGGAGGGCCACCCTCGTGCGTCACAGGAGCACGCATCCTGGACCGCTCGGCGCGCTACCGGAGATCCCGGTGACGGACATTGTGACTGAGTTCGTGAAGAATTACCTAAACGAGAGCAAAAACATGGCGAATTCATAGTTTGAGTTCAGCGAGACCGTTGTTTTTCACATAGTTCCGCAACGCGAGTTTTCTTTTAGCCCTGGGTTGATCCTCCGTGACCAGCGAGATACTTATGAGACACACATATTGATCCTTGATAGCGTAAGGGACCTTCATTTCAGTTATCGGCAAGCTAGAGTGTTTTCATTTTTATAAATGTAAAGCGGAAGGAGCTATATTAAAGAAGTAAGTTTTTATCGGGATACACATTTATTTATTAGTTGGTCCTGTTCACAAGTTTGTTAGATGACATCGCCGTATAGTTACGCACCGGATGCGAGTTGTTTTTTTTTCTGTTTGATTTATATAAACGTAGATTTTTCCTAGAGTAAAAAGGATAAAAATCGCGGGAGAGAATTGTGCGGTCTTTTCGAGATATTTTTAGGACGAAACTTGTAAGTTTTCAATTACATTGTCGCGGATCGCAGTTATAGAATAAGAATATATTTGTTGATTCTCTCTCTATCTCTCTCTCAGGTATATATATATATGTATATATATATATACTGCGATTTTCTGTTAATAATGTTACGACGCTATATTTTGTAACAAAATGCGGTTCGATTTATATATGAATATTGGTGCAATACGCGTGTGCCGTAAGTTCATTTAAAAAAATATATATACGAGCGATTAACTATTCAAAGTTACGCTGTCGAGATTATTCGATCTGTCCCTCTCAGTAGACACGTATACGATAGACACTCGTCTAATTGACTCGCTCATGGTCAGGTAAGTCGCCAATCCGCCACCGTTTGCATAAATTGATTGTTATATTGACAGGCGTTCTTTTTTTAGGTGGTCCGTAAGTTTCGCGTTGCATTACGAAAAGCCGTATGCGCACCGATACCCAATACTACCTTTCATAAATCCTAGCGGGACTTCTAATTGCGAGTTAAGGAGGTAACTTGAAAAACGGCGACCGAATCGCGCGTTTTACCGAACCGTTTTCCGAATGATATTAAACCAACCCTGAGCTTCTCTTTTATCGTCGAACGACAACGTTTCCCACAAATAGACGTAAGCGATCGTGTCCTCTACTGATTTACATTTAACGATAACGTCAACTCCCTTCTTTTGTGTTTTAGAATGGTGGATCCGTTGAACGTCGAGTCCAACGTGATCCAGAAGTCGCTTGTCAGGATCGAGACCGAATGGGCTGGTGACGAGGCGTCGTTGTTGGAGCGAGAAGAACGGACGCCAGAAGTGACAGACGCGAACGTAACCACGGAATCACCTGGCTCGCGAGTCGCAGTCGGGGAGAATCGACCGATCAAGAGGAAAGCGACGTGCGTGGAGTGCGATCATTGCCGGCGCAAGTTTCTGAAGAAGAGCAATCTCGCGGAGCATCTGAAGCAGCACAGACACAAGTGCGCCGACTGCCCGAAGACCTTCACTCTGCAACGTTACCTGATCTCGCACGTCGAGAAGAATCATCGCCAGCAAGTATACGAGTGCAGCGTGTGCGACTACAAGAGCAACAATAAGGGCACCCTGAAGAATCATTACATACGACTGCACACCAGCAGCTACGACTACTCGTGCGATATTTGCGGCAAGCAGTTCAAGATCAAGAAAGCGCTGAATCATCACGTGAAACAGAACCACAGTGGCGCGCCGCCGATCGTGTGCGACGTGTGCGGCCACTTTAGCAAGAACCTGCACGCTCTCAAGGCCCACATGAAGTACCGCCACTACAAGCCGGAGTTCGTCTGCCGGATCTGCAGGCGCGGTATGACCACGCAGAAGAATCTCGAGCAGCATCTCATGTGGCACGAGACCAGGGAAAAGGTGTTGTGTCCGACCTGTGGCAAGAGGTTCCGCGGCCGCGACCTCGACTCGCATATGCGGGTGCACACGGGTGTGAAGCCGTTTCCTTGTCCAGTCTGCGGCAAGACGTTTCGACGGCAGACCGCTCAGGAGCAACATGTGCTGATCCACACGGGCAAGAGACCTTACATCTGCGATATTTGCGGCCAGGCGTTCGCTCAGAAGCCCGGCCTTATCTGTCACAGGAAAAGACATCCAGGGCCGCTGCCCCCGTTACCGGTGGTCTCCATCAAAAACATCGTAACGGAATTCACGAAGGAATATGCGACCAAAAGTGCGGTCATTAAGATCGAATAGAAGAGACACGTGAGAGAAAGAGAGAAGAGGGTCCCTGTTTTTAACGAGCTTTCCAGTGAGAAAGTCTTGTAGAATTATATCTACAGAGTTTTTTATTATACATCGAGTTATCGAGGGCGAATGTTTTTCTACGAATTTTTCTATTGTATTCTGTACACAGTTTTCAATAAATCTATGGTTTATTATATTTTTTATACATTTTTTATATATATATTTTTTTTACATACATACACTTCTATGCGCGCTAATAAGTGCGATATGTAGGAAAAAATTGCAGGATGACTGTATAGTGGACTGTGTGTATGCGTGTTTGTTATTACTATCGAATATCTCAATGACAATACTTCAGTTGAATATAAAAAATTATCTCTAATTCACATTTAATTTATAATAAAATTCTTCATTTAACTTATCTGTTATTACTTTCTTTTATTCAATCCGATTAAGAAAGCTTCTCCATGATCCTTTTTCGATTATTATTTATATAATTTATATAATTTATATTATTTATATAATTTATATTATTTATATAAATCACGAGTGCTAATACATATACATATGATTTGTTGTGATAAACACATTTTTATGCCTTACATGATACTATTCTTAGAAAAGAAATATTTTTAAATGAAAAACTAGGAAAAACGTTAAACATTTGATATTGTAAAGAAACTTAATATTGATGATATATTTTGATTATAAATATATTTAATTCGATTGTAATTTGTATTATAGCGACAATTCAGAGGCATTTAAAGTCGACAAGGAGAACTATACTTTTGAGCATTTGAGTACGTATTGGATACGTACGTATCCAAGTACGTTGACGACGATTGAGTACGTATTGAATAACAGCTCATACGGTCCCACAGTTTCAGATCTTATGGAAAGCTTGACCTTGAAAGATCCTAACAAGATAAACGATATTAAGCAGCTACAGAACAGTTGGGAAAGCAAAATGAACGACATTGAACAGCGCCACAACAAATCTATTCAATCCCCTGAACTTTTTAGAAATAAGGATGACGCGGAGAAGCATAGTAACATGAAGAATTACTCGTGCCAATTTTGCGACCAGAACTTGAACTTCCAGGAAGAATTGAATCATCATATGAAGATAATCCATAAACTACCTAATTATCCCTACGACAAGTATGCGTATGAGACCAGATACTTTTATATTAAGCTCCACTTGACACGACTCTACTTGTTAATCGTATAATTAGTGTGACGTCGTTTAACTTAATTATAATTTTCATAAGTAGTAATAGACGTACATACGATTTGCCATAATAATTACATTTTTACGCTTCACATGATTCCCTTCTTGGAAAAGAAATATTTTTAAATAAGAAAGTAGGAAAAAGTTAAACATTTGGTATCGCAAGAAAATTCTACATTGATAGTACATCTTAAGTACATCTTAAATATATCTAATTTGATTGTAATTTGTATTATAGCGACAATTCAGAGGCATTTAAAGTCGACGAGAAGAACTACACTTTTGAGCAATTGAGTATGTATTGGATACGTACGCATCCAAGTACGTTGACGAGGATTGAGTAGTGAATAACAACTAATAGGGTCCCACAGTTTCAGATCGTAGGGAAATCTTGAGTGATTCTAACAAGATAAACGACATTAAACAGCTGCAGAACAGTTGGGGAAACAGAATGAACGACATTGAACAGCGCCACAACGAATCTATTCAATCCCCTGAACTTTTTAGAAATAAGGACAACGCGGAGAAGCATAGTAACATGAAGAATTACTCGTGCCAATTTTGCGACCAGAACTTTAATTTGCAGGAAGAATTGAATCACCATATGAAGATAATCCATGAACTACCTAGTTATACCTACAAGTATGTGTACGAGACCAGATTTAATCTACTTGAAACGACTCGTGCTGCGTTCGGAAACACACACTGTGTGCACACTACTAGACGATAGCTGTTGGAGTGAGCGAAATATAAGAGTGAGATAAAAAGAGAGGGAGAGTATTCGAGTGACGTTTCCGAAAACAGCCTCGACTTGTTGACCTTATATTCAGTATGACGTCGTTTAACTTAATTATAATTTTCATTAGTGGTAATAGACATACATACGATTTGCCATAATAATTACATTTTTACGTCTCATATGATTCTCTTCTTAGAAAAGAAATATATTTAAATAAAAAAGTAGGAAAAAGTTAAACATTTAATATCGCAAGAAAATTCTACATTGATAGTACATTTTAAGTACATCTTAAATATATCTAATTTGATTGTAATTTGTATTATAGCGACAGTTCAGAGGCATTTAAAGTCGACGAGAAGAACTACACTTTTGAACAATTGAGTATGTATTGGATACGTACGCATCCAAGTACGTTGACGGAAATTGAGTAGTGAATAACAACTAATAAGGTTCAACAGTTTCAGATCTTAGGGAAATTTTGAGTGATTCTAACAAGATAAACGACATTAAACAGCTGCAGAACAGTTGGGGAAACAAAATGAACGACATTGAACAACGCCACAACGAATCTATTCAATCCCCTGAACTTTTTAGAAATAAAGACGACGCGGAGAAGCATAGTAACATGAAGAATTACTTGTGCCAATTTTGCGACCAGAACTTGAACTTCCAGGAAGAATTGAATCATCATATGAAGATAATCCATGAACTACATAATTATCCCTACGACAAGTATGTGTATGAGACCGAATTTAAGCTCGACTTGTTGATCGTATATTCAGTATGACGTCGTTTAACTTAATTATAATTTTCATTAGTGGTAATACACATACATACGATTTGCCATAATAATTACATTTTTACGTCTCACATGATTCTCTTCTTAGAAAAGAAATATATTTAAATAAGAAAGTAGGAAAAACTTAAACATTTAATATCGCAAGAAAATTCTACATTGATAGTACATCTTAAGTACATCTTAAATATATTTAATTTGATTGTAATTTGTATTATAGCGATAGTTCAGAGGCATTTAAAGTCGACGAGAAGAACTACACTTTTGAGCAATTGAGTATGTATTGGATACGTACGCATCCAAGTACGTTGACGGGGATTGAGTAGTGAATAACAATTAATAGGGTTCCACAGTTTCAGATCTTAGGGAAATCTTGAGTGATTCTAACAAGACAAACGACATTAAACAGCTGCAGAACAGTTGGAGAAACAAAATGAACGACATTGAACAGCGCCATAACGAATCTATTCAATTCCCTGAACTTTTTAGAAATAAGGACAATGCGGAGGAGCATAGTAACATGAAGAATTACTTGTGCCAATTTTGCGACCAGAACTTTAATTTGCAGGAAGAATTGAATCACCATATGAAAATAATCCATGAACTACCTAGTTATCCCTACGACAAGTATGTTTACAGGACCAGATGTAAGCTCCACTTGACACGACTCGACTTGTTGATCGTATATTTAGTGTGACGCCGTTTAATTATAATTTTCATAAGTGGTAATAGACATACATACGATTTGCCGTAATAATTACATTTATACGCCTCACATGATTCCCTTCTTAGAAAAGAAATATTTTCAAATAAAAAACTAGGAAAACAGTTAAACATTTGAAATTGCAAGAAAATTCTACATTGATAGTACATCTTCAGTATAAATATATTTAATTCGATTGTAATTTGTATTATAGTGACAGTTCAGAGGTATTTAAAGTCGACGAGGAGAACTGCACTTTTGAGCAACAAAGTACATATTGGATACGTAGATATCCAAGTACATTGACAATGATTGTGTAGCATTGAATAACAGCTCATATGGTTCCACAATTTCAGATCTTATGGAAAGTTTGAGTGATCCTAAGAAAATAAACGACATGAAGTAGCTGGAGAACAGTTGGAAAAACAGAACGAACGATATTGAAGAGCGTCACAACGAATCTATTCAATCCTGTGAATTTTCCAAAAATAAGGACGGTGTGAAGAAGCATAGTAACATGAAGAATTACTCGTGCCAATTTTGCGACCAGAACTTCAATCTACAGGAAGAACCGTCATATAAAAATAATCCATGAACAACCTGGTTATCTCTACGACAAGTATGCATACCAAATTTAAACTCCACACGACTCAAATTGAATAGTTGGTCGTATATTCAGTGTAACATTGTTTAATTTAATTATAATTTGTGTTTTAGTGTGTTATTTCATGAATTGACTCAGAACATATTGCTTTCCAAAAATAATACCCCGGTTACGAGTCGTCCAGAAGCCCACGATGTCGACTCAGGGATGATCGTCAGGGTGGAGCAGGTGGACTCTTTGGTGTGTTCTGCGGCAAACGTTTCAGATGCAAGAACGACCTAGAGAAACGCAGGAGCTTGGATAATTGCCTGCAATGCAAAATTTCTTTCCAGAAGATTGACCTGCTAGAGGAATTAAATCGTCACGTTAAGACATGTAAAATTAAATATATCTGTCATGAGTGTTCCTACGAGACAAATAACTTTAAGCGTTTGAGTGAACACATGATATCGGAACACAATACTACAGGCATTTTGCCTTGCGACATGTGCTCCAACAAGTACGGATCGCGGTACTCTCTTAAGAGACATAAAGAAAGAACTCACGCGGATAACATACAGTCGGTAAAATATGACAAGTGTTATGACGTCTATAAGAACAAATATTCACTGAATAGCCACCAGTGCACAATGCACTTAAAGGCAAATTTTTTCTGCAAAAACTGTCAGAGGATCTTTAAAACGCAGGATGAACTGGACCAACATATTGACGAGCATTACACTTGGATCTGTCCGCACTGCGACAAAAGCATAGCACTTTTTGTTAATATAGAATCACACTTGCGATTTCATAGGAATGAGACACCTTTTATCTGCGACATTTATGGTAGCGGGTATATTTCGAAGAATACTTTACGCCGGCACATAAGCAAACATCATCCTGTTTCCTGAATCGTTGGCGATATCCAAGGAAAACATCGTTGCAGACTTTCCGACGGTCCGTGAGTCGAAAGAAAGTGATCAGTTGGATTAAATAAAAGGAATAGTAAAGGGAAATAGGGAAATAATATATTCCCTAACAGCACAAATATCCAGGAGACGTCCAGAGTATGTCTTGAGAATGTTTTGGAGACGTTTCTACGTCCTCAGGACATCCGTGGAACGTCCACAGGAGATTTTGTGCTATGTGGGTTTACAGACTTTTTTATGCATTTTCATGACCGAATATTTTTCTACGAATGTATTATACTATGAATGTATGTATTATGAATTTTGTTTTCTATGCATAATTATTTACGATTTCTATAGATTCTTAATAAATTTAGTGACACTCTATCCGCGGAGTAATAAGCGCAATAGGTAAGAAAGAATTAGAAAATTATTTGGACTATATATATATATATATATATTCCAAATAATTTTCTAATTCTTTCTTACGTATTGCACTTATTACTTTTATATATATATATATATGCATGCACATATATTACGTTTACTTCGTTTACTTAAGATAAATACTACATATACTTCGTTTACTTAAGATAAATATAGTACTAATGTTATATCTTTGATGGAGCAATAAATAATAATTACACAATCGGTACGTAGTATACTTTCGAACAATAGTATAATAATAGTATACTTTACGAAATGCTGCTTTTATTAAGAGCATTTCATCCAAACCAATAGTTTTTCTGCAAAATTTGATGTCTTTTTTGTATTTTGTAACAAGCATACAATTGTCATGTTTTTGATACTTTTATTGACTCTCTCTGTACGATAAGTACGACAGAAAGAAAAGAATTAGAGGGCGATTAAATGGTGCTATCTATATATTTGCATGTAAAGATGTGATTTTGAAAAAAAATTGTTATTTTTATATTATATCTTTTGAGAAACTCTTTGTATATTTTACAATAACGAAATTACGATTGTTATGCAGGGAGTATTTTATATTGTTGCCGATGAATGTTTAATTGATAGAATATCAGAAAGAAATAATAAATTTTTTTTTCTCCAATTTACTTAATTTATATTTATTTTCTTTGTGTTTGATTTGTATCTAATCTCGTTATTTAATCTATTTTATTTATTCTCGTTATTTATTTGCTTGTGAAAACGGCTTAATGTAAAACCTGTTAATATTATTTGCTTTTAGAGTTTATATAAATTTTAATCTTTGTATTTATGATTTAAAGTTTTTTTCTCTTATACATTCTCGTAACATAATTATATTTTTAGACTTTCTATTTTCTCTTTCTAGAAAATAGAATATTTCGTAAAAGTATTTTTAAGTAAAAAATTGAAAGAAAAGGTTTTTGAGCAATTGATGCTTCAAGTAAGTAAACTCAATATTTTTAGCGGTAAATCGTGACAGCGCTTGCTTGTGACATTATTTAATTAAATCGTAATTTGTGTTTTAGTGACCCACTAGTGGATCTTCTATACCTCCCGGATTCCAAAAGTATTAATAATGAATTTATGAATCCACTGAACGTTCCGGATGTCATCGATTTGCAATATTCGTCCGTCGAAGATACCGCCGACTTGTCTCTATATAAAAGTAAGCGCCACAGAAAAACAGGCGCAACAAGAGTGCCATTTTTACGCGAAGCAAGAGGACAAGAGTAGGATTCAGCACATTTTGCCCTTTTCGGCCGATTTCTTAGGAGCTACACCTTCTGTCTTCCCCTTGCTGCAAACGGGTCACAAAAGTGACGATCGGGCCTCCAAGCTTGAAGCCGCGACTGGCCGCGATCGATATTTTCGTGACCCGCTCGCGGAAGGGGAAGATAGAAGACGTAGCTCTCGAGAATCGGCCGAAATGGGCAACTAATTCCGAGCTCTGCTCTAGAGAACAGAATATCAAACGGAAGAACATCAATAAGAAGAAGTCAAAGTCCTTCTCGAAATACAACACGGCAAATGTTTCAGCCAAGAAACTAAGATAAAACACATGAGCGAGTCTAAGTACTCGTGTCAAAGTTGTCGCCAGATCTTCTGTTTGAAGATAAAGTTGAATCGTCACGTCGCAACGGTCACCCCTTGTATTTTTGCAATATCTACGGATACAACAACAACAACAAGCGTTCCTCGTCATCACTTTTTATGAAAACACACGGAAGATAATTAGTGTTTGTGCAAGAAACAGTTTGGGATTTAGGGAGCAGCACACAAATCAGATGTGCAGCGGCAAGTCATCTGTAGTGTATACAGCTTACGTCTACAAGAACGTGTATGTCATCAAGGCGTACATGAAGTACCGGCACTACAAACCATTGTTCGTTTGCAAGATCGTAGCTTGACCATGCAAAAGAACCTCGAGCAGCATCTGAAGTGGCATGAAATCAGGGAGAATATGCATTCCGGAAGCAATTTTCCTGTCCCATCTATGACAAGATGTTTCGGGAACAGCATGTGCTGATTACGACATGAAAATCTTCTAAATAAATTTTTAAATAAATTTTTTATTGTATATTCTGTACACACTTTTCAAAAAAATATGTGGTTTTCATATGTTTTTTATATCAGGGCCGGAACGGTTTGCCAATTTTGGCCGATTCTCGGGAGCTACGCCTTCTATCTTCCCCTTGCCGCGAACGAGCCATAAAAGTGACGGTCAAGCCTTCAAGCTTGAAGCCACGACTGGCCGCAACCGTCACTTTTGCGACCCGCTGCGCGACAAGGGAAAGATAGAAGACGTAGCTCCCGAGAATCGGCCGAAATTGGCAAACTATTCCGAGTCCTGTTTTATATGAATACAATTCTATAGTATTTATTTATACATTAATATAATTCTGCTAATAAGTGTGATATATAAGAAAGAATTGCAGGATGACTGTATAGTGGACTATGTGTGTATACGTGTTTGCAGAGATCGTCATGCAGAATATCGTTATCACTATCGACTATCTCAATGACAATTCAGTAAACACAAAGTACCACTGATGTTACAATGTCAACTTAATCATATAGTATATTACGTAACTGTCACTTTGTTATATAACAAAGTAACAGTTACATAATATACCATATGATTGAGCTGCCACTGAAATATGGATAATATTTTGTTTTTACTGGGAATACTTCAGTTGAATATAAAAAATTACTTCTAATTCACGTTTAATTTATAATAAAATTCTTTATTTATTCTTTTATTTAACTTATCTGTTATTACCTTTCTTTATATAAAATCCGATTAAGAAAGTTTCTCCATGATCATTTTTCCATTTTTATTTATGTAATTTTCACAAGTGCTAATACATAAATTGTCACATTAAGACGCATTATAAATCTATGAGCTACGAGTGTTCCTACAAGATACAGTGAAGTGTTTGAACACATGAACACATGAAATCGGAACATAACACCACCGATATATGCAAATGTGTCATATTCTCTAAAACATTTAAACGATTCTCTAATCTTCAGATGCATGAAGAAATGGTTCACGCGGATAACACACAGTCGATTAAATGCGACAAGTGTAATAGCGTCTTCAAGCATAAAATTTTGCTAAAGAAACATCAGCGCCAAGTACATTCAGAAGCAAACTTTTCCTGCAGAAGCTGTAGTGGAATGCTCTTCAAAACGCAGGATGAACTGGACCAACATAATGCCGAGCGTCATACTTGGATTTGCTCATACTGCCACGAAAACATAGTACGATTTAAGAATAGAGAAACACACTTGCGGCTTCATAGGGATAAGAAACCTTTTATCTGCAACGGCAAGAGGTATATTTCTAAAGATAGTTTACGCCAGCACATAACGACACTTCATCTTGTTTCCTGAATCATTGGCGATACCCAAGAAAAACATCGTTGCAGACTTTCCGGCGGTCCGTGAATCAAAAGAAAGTGATCATTTAGATCAAATAAAAGAAAAAGAAGAGATATAATATGTTTACAGTCCTCTTTATATTGAATTTTCGTGATTGAATGCCTTTTTATAAATGTTACTATTGAATTTTGTTCTCTATTTATAATTGCTTACGGTTTTCATAAATTCTTAATAGACTTAATGACACCTTACGCGCAGGATAATAAGCGTATGTGAGAAAGAATTAGAGAATGACTTTACGTTGGATTATATATATGTACATATTTCATTTACTTAAGGTAAATATAGTACTAATGTTATATCTTTCATAAGACGATGAATCTCGATTATGAAATTACAATTATTATATAGTATACTTTCGAACAAGAGTATACTTTACGAAATGCAGTTCTTATTAGAGCATTCCCAGTGAGAAATGACTTATCGATCGACGTCGAAAAGACGTCGAATCAATGTCTATTTGACGATTTCGACGTCAATCAACAAGTCATTTCTCACTGGGTTTTATCGGAGCCAATAGTTTTTCTGCGAAATTTGTTGTCATTTTCGTATTTACTTTATAACAAACTTGCAATTGTCATATGTTTTTGAAATTTTTATTGTCTCTCTATGTGCGAAGAATGTAGCACAAAAGAAAAAATTTGAACACGAATGTATAGCGTTGTATATATATATTTTTTATATATAAATATATCATGAATCTTTTAATAATGAAATTACGATTGTTTTTTGTAGTAAATATTATATTACTAGTGAATTTATTTGAATGAAGGAAAATCAAATGGATATAAAAATATGTATTCCGTAATTAATTTAACTTGTATTTGTTTTCTTTGTTTAAGACTTGTATCTTATTTAGTTATTCAATTTTATGTGAAAAGACGACTTTTTGTAAGATCTTTTAATATTAATTGATTTTAATTTGCATGGATTATAATCTACATATTTACGATTTAACGTGACATAATCATATTTAGACCAATCATATTGTAAAATTTCTTATAAGAATTGATTTAATAACGCGAGAATTTGACATATCGGACTCGAACGCAAGATAAACTGTTTAGAATATAATTCTAAGATTCTTACAAGCTATTAGATGACACACATATATATATATATATATATATATATATATATATATATATATACACATCTTTTTTCTTTACCATAAAACTTTAATTTATCTAATAATTTTGCCCATCCCCATTCTAAACGAAATTATTTATTACTTATTTCAATTTTTGTGTTGCGGAAAATATTACCACAGCTTAGAGTCGACCTTAGAACTCCAGATATGCTGGCATCATGCCATAAGATGACGTACTAATTCTGTTACTGTGACTTCGACTTCTCCGCAACACTAACGTTTATGAACTTAGAATATACATTAAAGCATTTTTGCATTTTTTATTGTCTTTGTACAAAAAAAAACTTTAATTACTAATTATTTATTAAAAAACAATATATAAAATTAATATAATATTTTGTACAAAGTTATACAAAAACACTGGTGCATTTAAACTAATTATATATATAATATAATATTATATATATATATATATATATATATATATATATATAATTAGTTTAAATGCACCAGTGTTTTTGTATAACTTTGTACAAAATATTATATTAATTTTATATATTATTTTTTAATAAATAATTAGTAATTAATGTTTTTTTTGTACAAAGACAATAAAAAATGCAAAAATGCTTTAATGTATATTCTAAGTTCATAAACGTTAGTGTTGCGGAGAATATTGTCGAAGTCACAATAACCGAATTAGCACGTCATCTTATGGCATGGTGCCAGCATGTCTGGAGTTCTAAGGTCGACTCTAAGCTGTGGTAATATTTTCCGCAACACAAAAATTGAAATAAGTAATAAGTAATTTCGTTTAGAATGGGAATGGACAAAATTATTAGATAAATTAAAGTTTTATGGTAAAGAAAAAAGATGTATAATAAAATATATTGATCAGGGTTTTCTTGGCATATATATTTACCCTGTCAAACACACACACTTACAATTTAGCAACTACCATCTTGCTTTCTGCTTTGATATGCCAAGTTCTCACGTTGTTTGAACAATTATATTTCTGTGAGTGCCCTCTACGTTCTCTTCGTAAAATAATGAAATAGTAATTTCAGCACTTGATACTTCAATTATGTAAGTTGAATATTTAGCAGTAAATCATGCCTGGCGTGTGACATTATTTAATTCTATCGTAATTTGTGTTTCAGAGATTTACTTATGGATCCTCTGTACGTTCCGGATTCTAATAACTTTATTGGTTCATCTATTAATTCCCTGATCGTAACGGATGCTGATTACTCGAAACATACGCTCGAAAATATAGAGCACACCCTGGAGATCGATTCCTTGCCAGAAGAAAATAAACATCACATTACGAAAAAAAGTGAGACGACGAATGTAGTGGAGCAAGAGTATCATTGCGTGAAGGAAGTCACAAGAAAACAGAATATCAATGAGGAAAGAATCGCAAAAAAGAACATGAATCACCTTTGGGAGTCCTCCGAGTGCAACGAACATTCCGTACAGAGGATTAGCATGAAAAATCATAACAGAATGTACAATTACTCACAGCAAACTTGCGGTCAGAACTTCAGCCTGCAGGAAAAATTAAATTGTCACGACGAGATGTCTCATGGACTTAAGTATACCTGTCCCAAATGTCCGTATAAGATAAACAGAAAGGACAGCTTGAATAAACATATCAAACGGATGCATGAGATTAGCTACGATTATGAGTGTGACATATGCGTGAAGAAATTCAAAACGAAGGACGTCCTGAAGAAACATAAAAATCTGGTCCACACTGAAATGCAGTCGATAAATTGCGACGAGTGTAATCATGTCTCCAAGAACCTGCATGCTTTAAAGGAACACAAGAGAATAAAACACTTTAAGTCGGAATTCTTTTGCAAGATTTGCAAACAATACTTTAGAACGCAGGATAATCTCGAACAGCATAGTAAGCGGCACAACATGGCCTGTCCGACCTGCGGCAAAACAATAGCAAGATATGATAATCTAAAAGAGCATATGCGGCTTCACACGAATGAGAAATCCAACGTCTGCAATGTTTACGGCAAGGCGTACGCCCAGAAGACTGATCTATCCATGCAAATGAAGAAGCACTCCGGTCTGCTTTCCAAATCGTCGACAGTACCCTAGAAAAACATTGGCACAAGTTTTCTGAAGCTCCGCGAGACGGAAAGGAGTAGAAATCAAATAAAAGAAACAGAAGGGAAGGTTTGAAATAAACTGAGTTTGTTTTTTAGTGCAAGTATCAACAAGAAGGTATAATTTCAAAGACATGTACTTTATGTCAACTTTTCGAGGCTGATCGTCTTTTTATAAATGTTACCATTGAATTTTATATTCAATTTGTAATTAATTATGATTCTTGTAATTATTTATGTAGATTCTTAATATATTTATTGGTCCTCTGTACATGATATGATTAATTTAAAATTTTAAATACACCAAATGCAAGAAAGGCGTCTGTTTATATTGTAAGTAGAATTTATGAACATTTGTGTATTTTGCGGTGAAATACTGCCGAAGTCCTGATAGTTGAATTAGTATGGCGTCTGGCCTGGCAAATATTTGGGTTTGCCTCCCGACTGAAGCTGATCCACATAGCAGGAATGTCCTAAATATATCATAAGGATATCTTGAAGATATCACATCCCAAATATATCTTTAGGATATCCCTATGATATATTTTGGACACCTCTGTTGTGTGGGGAGGCTATTTAATATAATTACGTTTAGAATAGGTATGACCAAAATTATTGGATAAATTAAAGTTTCATGGGGAAAGAGTTTTAATAATAATATATGTTGATTCCAGGATATTCTTGGTACGTACATTGATATTGTTAAATATTTAAAGTTTGGCAACTAATATTTTGCGTTCGGCTCTGACATATTCAATTATTTACGTTGTTTGAACCATTATATTTTTATCTTTCTGCGTTTTCTTCCAAGAATAAGAATATTTTCAAGTAAAATATTAAAATAGAAATTTCAGTATTTGATGTTTCAAGTAAGTTGGATATTTAGCAGTGAATCGTGCCTAGCGTGTGACATTATTTAATTCTAGTGTAATTTGTATATTTCAGTGACTCGTCTATGGATCCTCTGTTCCGGATTCTAATAGTTTTAATGACTCATTAATTGATTCTCCGATTGTAACGGATCAAAAATCACAATCGTGATTTGGGCGCCTCGTTTGTGCGCAATCGCAAAGACTGAGCGGCCGTGATTATAGGAGAGTTTTTTAATTCGTCGATGGATCCATTGTATGATGCGTAAATACAGCGAAACATTGCATTTGCGCATCATGCGATGGACTCATCAATGAATTAAAAAACTCGACCTATCCCAGACAGCACAAGATCTTCTGAGGACGTCCTAAGGACGTCCTGAGGACGAAGAATGTCCTCAGAACGTTCTCAAGATGTCCTCTGGATGTCTCCTGGATATCTGTGCTATTAGGGATCTTACGCGAAGGAACTAGTTGGAAGGGTGTGGAATTCAGCGTTTCGCTATTACGGCTGAACCGATGTAGTTCTGAATAGTCTTAATCGATTTCTTGGGTCAACATTTCTTAATAAAACTGTCTTTACTTTTGCTCTACACGTCCTGTGAGAAATTCTAGCTGAAAGTCCAAAATCGTCAGATTTCACGATGAATACGATGGCTCCAGCAATGGCTCCTTCAATATTTTTCCGCTAGATAGCAGCACGGAATAGATGATTTCGTCATCGTCGCGAGCGTTCATGTGACAAAGAGAGAGAGAGAGAGAGTTGTCTATATTGGCACGTAAAGGTTATGTTTGTTCGACGCTGTCGTCAGCGTTAATGATCAGTTTTCTCTTTCCTGTGCGAGGATTACGATCATTCGAGTCTACAGTGGTGAATACGTGGTATAAACGAAGTGAATCGAGGAAACAACGAAGTTTTTGTAAGTATAGAAGAAATTATATAATATTTGGTTTTGATACAGTAAAATAACACTTCGATGAAACAAGCGCACTATATTAATTCTTATTTTGCTTTGTAAAAAAATATTACAGGCAGTGATAAATTATGATCAGTCAATAGTTTGTCCAATTTCCAAATCCAAATAGTTTAACCAACTTATTTATCAGTCAGTGATGATATATTTTTCTGTAAAAGTTAACATTAATATAAAGGTTATAAACATTTCAAATATTTCATTAATACCGTCATTTATACCGGTATATCCATATATACTGTCATTATTTTTAATAGTGCATGTTATAATTACATGAATTTATAAATGTTAAAAATAATGACAGTATATACTGACGGTATATACCTTAATGGAATTCTTATAACATTTGCAGTAATGTTAACTTTTAATAGGAAAATATGTTTTCTGATTGTTATAAATAAATTGGCTATTAATAAATTACCGATTAATAATAATTTATCACTGCCAGTAATATTTGTTTACAAGGTAAGAGTTAACATACTGTGTTTGTTTCATCCAAGTGGATATTTTACTATTACTATGAAGTGTGCTAAGTATGTGTAGTCATGGACAATAAAGTTGCTCAGTTATTCGAAATGTTACTGAACGACTCAATGAGAGAATTAGTTTTGAAAAGATAAGTGCTCTCATTGGGCCATTTGGCGACATACTGAAACTTATTAATAAACACCAATAGACAAACCTTATTGTTTACAACTGCACAAATGTAGATACAATATTCATATTCAATGTCTAATAATGAACATTTATTTTTTGCAGTTCAAAATCGATGTGATAAACCATGAGGGAGAAGTTGTGCAGCTGGAAAAATAAATAAGGAAACTCCAAAAATTAAAAAAAACCAATGAAATATGAAGTAATGTGAAGCAATGAAATATGAAATAATGTGTGATTGTACTAATGATTGTAATCATGGTTGTGATTGTGCTTATAGATGTGGTTATGCTTGTGATGGTTATTGTGCTTGTAGTAGTAGTAGTAGTAGTAGTAGTAGTAATGGTTTCGTTGCTGCCTCTTTTAATTTTTGGAGCTCCACTTATTTGTTTTTAATTGATATCTTTATATATATATAATGTGTGCGTGTGTGCGCGTGTGTGTGTGTGTGCATATGTCTTACTTTCAGAGTTTGCTTTATTTCTATTTAAATTCTTTAAGATATTAACATCTTAATACTTCCCATAAAATTGTACAATTGAAACATCGCAAGTAAATTCAATATTGAGCTGTTCACCCTAATATTTTATTATTTGTATTTTATTAGTATATAATACATTTGATTGTGTTTTAGTGATTTGCCTCTGAATTTACCATATAAACTGGTATTTAATGATTTTCTAAGATCGGCTCAGAATGTATCGCTTTGCAATAATAGTAATATTTTGGTTACGGATCTTCCGGAAGCCTAGAGTGTCAACTCAGAAGTGATCACCAGGATGCAACCAGTACACCCTTGGAAGTGTTTTGCATGCCGCAGACATTTCAGATTCAAGGTCCACTTCTTGAAACACAAAAGCTTGAATGATTGTCTGCAATGCAGAATTTGCCATCAGTTTGACCTGCTAGAAGAATTAAATTGTCACTATAAGACGTGTCATAAACTTAAGCATACCTTCCGCAAGTGCTCTTACAAGACAGATACAGAGAACTGTTTGATTCAACACATAATATCGGAACACAATATTACTGACATTTTCCCTTGTGACATCTACTCCAAGAAGTTCAAGAGATGGGATGTTCTTAAGAGACATATGGAAACCACCCACACTAAGATAAAATGCGACAAGTATAATGGTGTCTTTAAAAACAAATATAACTTAAAGACCCACAAGGGCAGAATACACTCAGAGATAAATTTTTTTGCAAAAGGTGTGCGTTTACCTTCAAAACGAAGGTTCCCTGAAGGCTTCGTCCCTTCAGGACGAAGTGGACCAACATAATGCCAAGTGTCACGATTGGACTTGTTCGCAATGCTACAAAAAGATATTAATATTCTCTAATATAGAACCACACATGCGGCTTCATAGGAATGAAAAATCTTTTATCTGTGACGCTTACGGCAACGCATATGTTTCTAAGAAGGTTCTGGTCAACCACTTGAGGAAACATCATCCTGCTTCCTGAATCGTTGATGATGATACTCAAGAAAAACATTGTTGTAGACTTTCCGACGGCTCATGAGACGAAAGAAAGTGAAACATTTAGATCATTTAGATCAAATAAAAGGAAAGGCAGAGAAATAACGTTTACTGCGCTCTTTGGATTTTTGTGAACGAATGTCTTTCTACGAATGTTACTATTGTGAATTTTGTACTGAGTTTATAATTACTTACGCTTCTTATAGATTTTTCTTAGATTTAGTGACTCTCTATACGCGGAATAATAAGCGCGATATGTAAGAAAGAATAGGAGAGTGATTTTACGATGCATTGTATACATGTACATATGTTATATCGTTTACTTAAGATAAATGCAGTAGTAATGTCATGTCTTTTGTAGGATGATGAATCTTGATAATAAAAGTACAATCCTTATGCAATATATTTTCGAACAAGACTGTATTTTACGAAATGCAGTTGCAGTTCTTATTAAAGCATTTTATCTAAGTTGATAATTTTTCTGGGAAATTTGTTGTCATTTTTGTATTTACTTTGTAACAAACATGTAACTATCATATGTTTTAATATATTTATTAATTCTTGGTGTTCAATAAATAAAAAATCAAGAATTAGAAGTCAAATAAATGAAAAAATAAAAAATATATTATTTTGATATTATAACTTTTATAGGGAATTCTATGTGTGACTCACAATAACGAAATTATGATGGTTGTGCAGTAAGTATTGTTATCGAATATTTAAATGATAAAACACCAGATAAATGTAAAAAACATTTTCCTCCAATTTACTTAATTTGTACTTGTTATCTTTGTGTTTGATTTATATCTTATCTCGTTATTTAATTTTTTTGTGAAAACGGGTTGATGTGTTTACGGACTATTAATATTATTTGTTTTTAATTTACGTAATTTTCAATTTTTGTATTTACGACTTAATTTTTTCTCCCCCCCCCCCC